CAGTCACTTTTTGCCATCTCTTGGGAGATCCTGTAAAACTGTAAAGGAAACCATGTACCTTTGCAGAAAGAGCATAAGCTGTGTTACCTATGGCTCATCAGAACCCTTTTTTTTTTGTTTGTGGTCTTCCATGCAATAGCTGATGACATAAGCTTTACCTTTTGGTCTACATTGGGTCAGTACAATGACATCAGCAATTGCTTGTGGTGTAATTTATCAATATGACGAAACCTTTTCCATTCACTAATTAGCTTGTCTCCTTTGGCTGTAGCCTCTAAGATGCTGTAAAGATGAAGTCACCGCAACTCTCTGGGTACCTAGTCCATCAGACTGTAGTGGACACTTACTGAATGCCTTTTGGCTTTCAAAACCAAACAACTGTGTCTGTATTAGAGCTTTGTGTTCACAGGTCTCCTAAAACTACAAGAGATGCCATTCACCATCAAAAAGCTTTACCATTGTAAAGCTCCCTGTTTAGCTCTGTGTCTGAATGAGTGATTAAATACTTCTTATATTTTGCCAAATAATTTGCTAGAAAGAAAGATACATCCAGCAAGTTATGCAATTACCATTATTAATCAGCTCATGTCTTTATGAGATCGAGGGAATCTTATTTTACACTTGAATTTTTAGCTGATGAGCTAGGTTCACGCAGTTTCTTTCCCTCCTTTTCAGAAAGGAGTGGAGGGGAGTTCATTCTGTCAGTGCTGTCAGAGCAGATATCCCCTATTTGTTTATTAATAATATCCATCTGGATTATGTCGAATGATCCCCCCTGCATTTCCATGGGTTTCTATCCAAAGAAGAACGTTCTGAGCCCCGTTGTATCCATTTTGAAATTGCTAGGAGCCTGGCTGTTCTTCCCCTGTTTCTAGCACCTACTAGTTACAGGACATCAGGAATGCAAGCAGAGGGCAGATGATGGGAGGAGGCTGTTTTTGTGAAATCTTCTTTTGATGTGTGCAAACAACCAAAATAGGGTTCTTAACAGCCACTGAAAGCCAAAAAAAAATCCTCTGACACTTACCATCTCAAAAAGATGAAAACCTTCCTCCCATTTCCATTGTCCCTGGGCTGAGCTTTTGATCTGACGCAAGAAATGTGGTATGTGTCTGAAGTTTAGAAAGTTTATGCTGGCAGATGGGAAAGAGGGAGCCGGCTTGAGCGAGCCTGGACCGAGCTGGGACCGAGCTTCAGGCACGGAGTGCTGACGTCCCAGCGAGGGCCCTGATGTGAGCGGGCCGTGCCTGGGAGAGCCAGGCTTCTTGCCATGGGAGACAGTGAGTGCCAGGAGCTGCTGAAGTGAGCCTGGGGCCTGGTGGGACCTACAGAGCCCTCACAGCCATCACCCCTGTCCCCAGCACGGCCTGCAGGCCGCTCGGCCAGGCGCTGCATCAGGCCTGCTCCCGCTGCGCTGCTGGCAGCAGGCAGACCCAGCACTGCTATCCTCCCAGTCCGGCTCAGCCGAGCGGGAGGGGGGGTGTCTGGAAGGCAGAGGCAGGCCCTGTTCTGGTGGGACCTCTCCTGCCAGAGGCTCTGGTTCAGCACGTCCAGTTGTGCTCCGATTTGACTTTTTGTTTCTGTACGTGCAAAGAGGCAAAACCCTGAGTGCTGTGCTGACTCGAGGCCATCCTTCCCCTTGCGCAATGCAGTGCAAGTTGGGAGGAAAGTTCTCCACATCTTGAGCAGTGATCTGCCCTCCTGCCACCACCAGGAGCAAGCTCAGATTCCACCCTTTGCACCACCTCTGTGCCTTCTGCTTGACTGTGTGACTGACGTGATCCACGGCTTCAACACGCCTCCTTTATGCACCGTTTCCTGCTCCTTTATTTTCCTCACAGCCCTTGCACTGTGGGTGATGAGAGGTGGGCACTGCCTGCTGTGAGCATTCCCACCCTTCGCTCTTTGCCGCCTTCCTCTCTCCCTCAACCGTGTGGACTAGGAAATACTCAGCCTTTAATGCGGAGACTCTAATACATTGCACGTTTTGCTCATTTGCTTTCTGGCCGTGAGCCCCTGTGGTGTCATTTTCCAGCAGTTTACTCAGAGGGCTAGAAACTTTCTTTTTTTGTTTAATGAAAGTGGGAATTCACCCTGAGTCCCTCAACTAGGGCAATGGCAGCTTTAAGAAAAACAGAACGTGACAGATAATAGATGAACGTCTCCAGTGCTCTCATAAGGACCTGGTTTCTGCTGCATGCTGTGCTAGCTTGCAAAAGGACACTCCTCGCCGAGAGAAGTGTTTGCGCTTTGTGAATGTGACTGAATCCCTCGTGCTTTCCCTCCTTCACTTTGGCTCTCTGGATCTCACGGATGTGAAAGCTCTCTTCTTTTTCGTTTACATCTCTTGGACACATTTTCAGGCCTAATCATAAAAACTAGATTTTCTCACAAATTTCAAGTCCTGAGGCTTCCCAATCTCTTGTCATTTTGTGCCCTGGGAGAATAAGCTCATTACTATGGCTTGAGCCCTGGTGACCACGGAGTACACTCAGCCAATCTATAAAAGTGCACACTAGATTATTTCATGCATGCCTTTAAGTCCTTTACAGCGTTTATCAGCAATGCGCTCATTTGAAACATGTTTTTTTAATGAAAAGGGTACCGTTGCCACTGTTTAGTGTTGATGATGTGGTAACACGTTTTTATTATCACCCATAAAAATGATTTGGAGCTGTTCCTGCAGCCGGGCTGTGCTAGTTCTGCTCACACTGCCCCGGGGTTGCAGGCCCTGCAGTTTGCTGCTCTCTGACCATGGATTTACTGTCACCTCATCCTGCAGCACCCCTTGGCCAGGCAGAGCTGTGCCCAACACAGCCTGCCATCCTCTTGCCACTGCAGGAGCATCCAAACCACAGCCTGGCTCTGGTCCCTCTAGTTCACCACCACACAGATTGGTCTTGCCTCTATTGCTGAGTCCGCTTTGGCAACGCTGTTCAGGTATTTTGCCGGGGAAGCAAGAGGATAATATAACAGTATAAACTGGTTCAGAAAATGCCTTCAATGCTCACTTGAGCCCCACGTCAATGGGAATTAAGTCCGATTGTGGCAAGGCGCATGCTTGAGTGTTTGTTGAAGTGATGGCATATTTCCTTCAGCCTGACAAATTACAGGGCAGGAGCACAGAAGTGGACGAGGCATACGGAACCGATTCCTTTCTTGCCTTGCATCCGAGAAGCTGTTGGATAGAAGCAGGGCTCACGGTGGCCTGATGCCTTTTGCTTTTTTATTACTATTAAAGTGAGGCTCTGGACCCGGGAACAATGCAACAAAGGAGGAGTTTCCCTTGTTTGCAACAGCTGAGGTTCAGTTCCCCTGCACTTAAGCTAGCTCCCAGTTTAATTAGTTTCTGATTCAGTTCTGTCAGGCCAGTGCATTCTGCAGGAAGTTCATCATTCCTGGCATTGCTGTAATTCTGGCTCTCACCAAGCCTTGCAATAAATAAGTGATAAACCCCATAATAATTGCAAGTTAAAAACAAATGAGTGGAGCCAAGTCACTCTCATTTATAATTGCAGTGTGACTTCATTATGTAAAGACAAATGCAGCATGTAAAAACTGAAACTTCTAGGGATTTAGTAGAAAGTTTCAGCTGTATTCTCTTTTATTTCCCCTACCAGTAAATCAGGGTTGGATTTAGTCGTTTCCAAACGGGGGGTACCAGTGCTATAACAAATCACGATGATGCACTTCTCAAACTGTTTTCTGGTGTAGAGTTTACTGGGGGCACTGAGTGCTTGGATCAGAACTCTAGTTCTGGACACCTCAGCCCTGCTTCTGCTCCGTGGGCACCCTGTTTCTCATCTGGGCTTTGCCAGGTGAGTGCAGGGCTGCAGCAGTGCTTCCCAAGCACAGCTCCTTGCCTGCCCCGCAGGGCAAGCAGTTCTGCCCTTGGCTTTTCTGAGCAGCTTCTGCCTAGCAAGTGGGATAAAACTCATATGCAGTGGAGCACAGGGGAGTGGCTGTTCTTGCTTAGTAGTTTGAGAGTCAGGGGGAAGGAGCATTTAGATTAAAACAGAAAAAGATATTGTATAAAAACCAAAAATGATTACAAATTGCAATGACCGTTCCCCCTGGCTTCACTTTAACTGAGTTTATCAGAAGGCAGTGTCCACCTGGACCCTCCATCCTCCACTCCTTGTGGATATTTAGGGACATGGTTTAGTGGGCACAGTGGTGATGGGTCAGTGGTTGAACTAGAGAGCTGTTAGTGGTCATTTCCAACCTTTATGATTCAATAGCATTTAAGCTTTTTGCAGTTTCATGTGGGCCGCCAGTGGAGGGGAAGCACAGTCAGAATCATATAGGACAAAAAGGATTGTTTGGCCAAGGAGCTTAGGTTGTGAGCAGCCCAGACAGCTCTGGGACACACACTGGGATGGGGATTTATTTGAGTTGTGAGTTTTAATAGTACTCTACTACTGCTACGCAGAGCTTTTTGAGGAAATCGCCTCTTTTTTATTTGCTCCAAAATTAAATCACTTCAGCTCTTTAAAAGCTTCATATTCTCTCTGGTCTTTAATTAAATAAGCTTTTGTCCTTTGACTTGCAGCCAGTAGTAGTCCCCAGACATTGCAGTCTATCACCTGGGGCATCCCACAGCCCTTTGCACGGCATTGGCTCTCAGTGATTCTAACCTGATTTCAACCTAGCAGTGAAAAGCTGTGTCCTCACTCCAGCTTTGCTCCCTGGTTTCTGTTCCTCACCGGGGAGACAGTCTCATTGAGGCTGAATGTCTGCAAACAGTGAAGCCCTCTATGAAGAGGGCGTGCAGCGCTGCACTGGACTCTCCTGCAACATAACAGCTAATTTCCAAGCTATTACTGCCTCTTTCCAGAAAACCAGTAGAGCTTCAACACCAAAAATCCTGCGGTCTTCTGTACAGTTACCCACATCTCCTGTTGGCAAGGGAGGAGTTTCAAGACTACTTGGGGTTGAAGCTGTGTCAGTGGGAAACCATCCCACTGACCTTATCTGCCTTCCCTGTGGCCCCTCTCTAGATCCTTCTGCTTGAAGCCGCGGAGCGAAGCCCACCACTGGAAAACAACCTGCCCATCACTGGGACCACCGCCACCTGGTACGACGACTTGCTGCCGGATGCGTTTCCCCTGCTAAATCCCGGGACTGTCCTGAGGAAAACGGTGGGACCTGTTGGTAAGTGTGGTCTGCTCTCCATTGAGTCACTCTGCCTACATATGTGGTACCTGTAGGGTATTGTACAAACATAAAAGGTCGTGCCAAGCTCACTTAGCAGAGAGCTTCACAGGACGGAAGTTGGAGGGAAACTTTAGCATCTCCTTTCCTTTGCTTTGTAAAGAAGAGGGCTAAGGTTTTCAGATGGGCAATTCTTTGTTTGCTTGTGGGCATGTTTGCTGATGGGATGAGTGTGAGGCAGGCAGCTGCAGGAGGATCCCTGTCTGCTTTGCACCCTCAGTGGGGACAACTGTAGCATGGGGGGCTGCAAGTGCTCGCTGCAAGGTGGGATTTTGCTCAGCAAGAGAGGCAGTTCAAGAGCTACACCTTGGTGTTAGGGTCAGAAGCAGCTTTACTTAGCTCCAGAGCCATCAGTCCTCCTGGAACTGGGGGTTGTTCATTCTAAAGGTTTAATATTGTTTGTGTCTGCATGGATCTGGAGACCTGGATAGCTCGAAACATTCCTGAGGAAACTCCAGAGAGCCATCACAGTGGGGTGCCTGGGACCACTTGTGTTCCCTTGTTGAGCTAAATGCAGTGTTTCTCCATCAGGAGTGGTGTGGGGAGGTAGAGGACTATGGCAGGGGTAATTCTTGGTTTTATGAGGAGGAATGACTTTCCCATGAATATCAGCATCAGTTGCACTCTGCATTATATTTTTTAAATTTACTGTAAACACAATGGGCTGTTTTATGATCCCTCTTGTGGCATGAAAAAAAAATACACTGACAAGAAATTCCCTCCGAGCCCACTTGGCTAGACAGATCACTCCGCATTGAATTTCCTTGACCTTGGCATCCTCAATTCAAGACCTCCACTCCCTGTCTGTCAGTTGCTTCACTTGCTCCCCAAGCAGTTCTTTATCCTCTATAGAGCCTGCTTTCCTTTTTTTCTTTCTTTTTTTTCCCCTTTATTTTGTCAGAGCGGTTTATTATGGCAGCCTTTCATGAGTGCAGCAGACTTGGAGCAACCAACATAGACCAGATGTCGTCCATGTTTATAATTTGACAGGATGCCACAACATGGAGGGAGGTTCGCTAACAATATGTTCTGCAAAGTATTTTCAGAACCACACTGATGGCTGCCAGGAACTGAATTAAAGCCGTTTCCCCCAGTGTCCGTTATGTGTTCATTCTGCCTTCTCCATGTCATTTATTTTTGCTGTTGTTGTATCTCTGCACCTGCACTTTGTTGTGCTGAAGTGAATGTAAGCAACTGTACAGACAACTCTGTCCTTTCCACTCAGTGTCTTCTCCGTTCTGAGGCTCTGTGTGCATGATAATCTGCTCAGCAAGGAGCAATGAGTGCTGCTCTCCCAGGCATTTGGCAGTGCTCTTAAGGAGAACAATCTCTTGTAGCACTCGCATCGTGTTGACTCTATGGCCCAGTATCAGCAGATATCTGATAGAGAGCATCTCCCAAAACAGGATGTTGTTGTCTGAAGCTTGGTGTTATCAGTCAGACTCCCACACTGTGTAAACAGCTGTCTGCATGCTACCAGGTGTAGTTGTTACTCATTGTCACCCTTTGTTTTTCTAGCCTTGATTTATGTAACCTAAGTGTGGAATAACTCCTCTAGTGTAATAACTGGCGATCAGGCATGCACTGGGCCATTTCAGGTCAGCACAATGTCTTTCAGCAATCAGAAGTAATCAGTTAAGTTGCTTATTGACATGTGATTGCCTTCTCAATGCTCCAGCTGAGCTCTGCGTGCTTTGCTGAGGAGCTTTGGGGATGTTTCATGGATCAGGGTTCACACTTGGCTTCCTTCCCTCCCCACATCAGTTTGCATCTACCATTCAAACCCAGCCAAAAAATGCACTGTGGATTTCAGTGAAATGTAGGGAACTTGATGCAGTTGGTTTAGGACAATGGGGACTGCCTGTTTTGTGTGATTTCTACATGGTTCTGTGACTTGTTGCTTAAAGTTAACCTCAGGTTCCCTTGCAGCAATTGCAGACCTCTGGAGATCTTTCAACAAGTGTCACCGTGGATTAGGTATAAGTTAAACCTGAGTTCCCTGTGTGATTTGAGGCTGAGGAAAGCCAAACCTCTGTACCTCCCATCACCTTCCACAGTGTTTTTGTGACATACTGCCTACTCTGCCCGCGTCTCCTCTTTCAGCCAAAGCAAATCCACATCCCAGCTTGCATGCTGCCAAGTTTCTAAACCCCAAGGACTAAGGCCAGGATGTTGGTACCTAACACAGAGATGGGTGATAGGAATCAGATGCTTTGAACGGTGGGAGTGTTTCTGGATGACCTTACAGCTCTGAGTTGGCTGATGCCTCCCCAGGCTGAGGTCCAGGAAAACTTGCTACTGTTTGTTAGGGTGACTATTTCTTTTGTGAGTGACAGGGCTGAGAATAGACAACCATTTAAAAGCACTCGGAGCTGTTGAGACAGCTGCACTGCTGGCCCTTCTGATCAGCTTGTTAATCAACAGGATACATCTTACTGAGAATTAAGAAAATATATATACTCTAGCTGAGCCAGTTGGCAGCAAGAGACCTAATATTTCTTGTCTTCTTTTTTTTTCTTTCCTTTTTAACCCTGACCATTTTAATTAGAGCCTAAAGGACACAGAGGTGCAGAGGAGCAGCTAATACCACAGGGTAAGTGAACAGTTTCTTCTGTTGCCTCTTTTAAAGCACAAAATGTTGCTATGCCCAGACCTGTACGTGATATCTTCCCCTCAAAAAGCAGAAAGATCCTGTGGCCACGAGCCCTCAATGATTCAGAGCCATGCAGTACAGAGAGGCTGGATTTCTCTTTGGGTTGTATTTGATCACGGGAGGCAAAACAGCAGGTTTATCATCTCTGAGACATTCTGTTCCCCCAGAACATGAAGGATGGAAACACTGCCCACAGGAGAGGCACTGAAGGACGCATGGCTTCAGCAAGTGGGGAACGTGCTGAGTGATGGGAGAGCACACCATTATTACCTTAGTGATGTGGCCTGCCAGGGGCACGGAGAGCTGCTGGTGATTATCAGAGCATTGATTTGATTTGCTCTGTACAGAGAATAATGTGTTCCTGTGTATACAGAGACCTTGGGGAAGAAAGGGAGCAGGTGTAATGTTGCAGGTTAATGAGAGGGCCAGGAAGAAAATCCAGGCCTCTGCCCATCTGATTTGGTCTCTAGCAGTAGGATGCTCACACTCTACCTGTTTTTTGTTGTTACTGTTGTTTTCTTCTGTGGGTTTTTCTTTCATATATTTCAGGAAATGAATGCTTTCCAGAGGCTTTGGCTTCTAAAGCAGTGCCACTGCAGCAGAGCTAAGAAATGCCAGCTGAAGATTTGGCCTGTTTGTATTTCCTCCCCCTCCTTTTTCCCTGAATCCTTCCCAATTTATTCTCCCTTTTGCACTTGTCTCTTTTATGCTGGTAACACCATTTGTCACCAGTATGAGCATTTGCCTGACACGTTACCTAGTGCTGCTTCTCTCAGCCTTTCCTTCAGCATTTTCCTCCTTCAGGGAAGTAATTGCCAGTTTCTTTAAAGCTCCGCTGCTGCAGCATGATTGAGGATGCTAGCAGCAAATGATTGCTCTTGGTCTGCAGAAGTTCACAGGATTGATTTATAAAGATTGAATTGAAGAACTGAGGTTGACTTACATGAGTGAGGAAATGCTTTGACCCATGCTCAGCAGTACAGTGTGTTATGCTTGCAAACATTGCTTCTGCTGTTCCCTCTGTGCTGGGAAGAATTTGCTGCAGTAAAGGTGTGATGGGGGGCCTGGTAGGGTAGAAGAAGCCATTCAGTGCTCTAAGCAAATGGTCTTACTCTGTTAAATGGGCTCCTGATCACCTGCCTGAGCTTGCCAAGTGCAGCACTCACTGTGTCAGGTGGGATTTCGGCTTCAATCCATTGAAGGAGCCCTTCTTTCTATTCATAGAAAAGTCTGCAGCTTGCACCCTGTGGGTAAGCAAATTGATCCAAATGAAAATCTTACCTGAGCCTTGTGTGTTAGTACACAGCCTGGTTCCTTTGGGGCCAGCATGGAGGTGCTGCCTGGCCCACTTGTTTATTTTCTTCCTTTTTTTTTCCCCCTCCATTCCTCTCCACTTCCTGCCCACTACAGGTTCTCCTGCTACTGGTCTCGGAGAGGCCAGAACATCTCCTTATAGCAGGAATGGGGGAAGATGTTGCCCAAAAACGAATCAAATCTGTGCTCTGCTGAGTTGTTCGTGAATGTAAAATATAGAGAGACTTGAAATCTGAATGTGCTGAACCTTGAACTCAGCCAGGTCTTCCTCTGGCTTTGTAGATGTCTGCAACTGCTTTCAAAAGCTCTTTGGTAGCCCAGAAACCAGGAACCTGTGACTCTGTCAGTTAATGCCTTTATTGTAACTATTAACCACTTAATCTGAGCAGACAGAATAACTCGCCCACCTCTGTAAGGTATTAAAGGCTTTACTGATGTTTGCAGAGCATTTAAGTGTATCTTTCCAAAGCAGCTATGACCTTTGTGAGCAAAAGACAGTGTTTTTCTGAAAAATACTGTACAACTGCCAATTGTTGTTTTTATTTTGATAGTCTAAAGGAAGCAAGATTTTATTTAACATCAGAAATGGTCGCTTTCAGATAATGAATGCTGCCTGCATCTTTCTTAGGCTTAGGTAGGCTTATCTACCTCGTCTGAGTAGAGATGCCAAGGGGCTGTAATTACTGCGTAACTGGTATTTCCAGGTGGGCTTTCTCAGCATCCTACCTACTGATATAAATTAACAACATCTTGTTACTTCAAAATGGGTGCATTCACTTCACTTGGGGATGAAAAATGTTTGTGCACAGCATGGTGCACTCACTCGATAAATGAAAACAGGAGAAAACAAGGAAACATTTTTGACACAGAATCTCTGGGTGGTATGTATATGCCAACCAGAGCAAGTGGGAGACAGGGCTTGATTTGTTTTGGCAGATATATGGCAGATATAGAACGGGCTGGGTTGGAAGGACCTTAAAGCCCATCCAGTTCTGACACCATTGGGCTCATTGCCCCCCACGAGGTCAGGCTGCCCAGGGTCCTATCCAACCTGGCCTTGGGCACCTCCAGGGATGGGGCAACCCATCTCTGGGCAACCTGTTAAATATATTTTATGTGTTACATATTTTCTGCCTACTGAGACTACCATGAGATGGCATGAGGGAGCAGCCAGAGCCCACCCAGGGCTGTTCAGACCTTGAGATGGGACAGCTGCACAGTCAGGTTGGCTCTGAGCAGCACGTCCCAGCTGAGGATCACAACCTGCTGACTGCTGTGCATGGAGATGCACATGTTTCTTTAAGACTAGAAGGAGAAATGGGGAAGCAAGGTCCAGTCTGGCTCTTCTCCTCTATATACTGGCAAGCTTTTGCCACCAGTACCACCCTATCTGTGCTACCTGCACAAAGCTGCATTTCTCCCCCTTGCAGAGTCCCTCTCTGCTGGTTTCTAGGTTGCAAAAGATCTTCTGATCTCAGTAGTGTCTTAATCTCTGACTCATTTTCTATCTGGATGTTTTCAGGACTGCCAGGACAGGTTGGTCCTCCAGGCCCAGTTGGACCAACTGGTCTTCCAGGACCACCGGGACCAAAAGGCGAGAAGGGACAACCTGGGGAGAGGGGCCCAGCAGGACCACCAGGTAGGTCCCATGGGAAGGCAAGGTATGACAGGGAATATTTCATGTTGTTCAAATTGTCTCTGCAAACAGACCACACACACAATCTTGAGATTTCAGTTTATATTAAATCCATTCCTTGAAGTCCTCTGAGCACTGAACTCAGCCAGCAGCCCTCAGAATAGGTACTGTCTGCATGGAGAGCAGTGAAAGTCCTTGGGATTTCCTATGGAGTTGGGGAGAACTTGTCCCAGAAAGCAGAACAGCAGGATCATGTTTTCCCATCCTGCTCAGGAGCTGTGAAAACCAATCTCCAATCTGTCAGCCTTTGGAAAAGAGCATTTCCTGTTCAACCCTCTCACTGTGTGCCTGTTTTAACTGCCTTTTTTCTCCATCATTTGTGTCAAGCTGTCAGATGCCAGAATGTCAAATTAATGATGCCGTTGTATGCTAAGGGAAAAGGTTATGAGGCCGCTCTTTCACAGTGCACTCCATTCCTGTGCTCAGAGACTTTCTACATCCCCTAAACCTTTTGATGAAGGCAATACTACACGACAGGTGTCAGACCTCAGCCTCTGTGCTTTGTATGCATTTGAAAGGCTGTGCCTCGTAAATGTGAGCTCAGGAAAGGTTTAAAATTTGGAGAGTGCCTTAAAATGTGAGAGTGGCTCTGAATGCTTTTTTGGCAATTCCTGGCAGACTCTCAGTGGCTGGTCTTGCCAAAGATGTGTTTGCTTTTTGGTTTCTCCATTTGCAACAAAAGCTTTCCAGTCCCAAAGGAGTCAGAATTGATTTGCTGCTGCATTGATGGTTTCTGTTGTTATTTCCGTGCTTTTGTGGTGGTAAGGTGACATACAGGTGTATCTGAAGGGAAAGAGAAAGAGCTGTACTGCTTTCAAGCTGCCTTTAGTTTCTTACTCAGTCTCAGGGAGAAATAATTTTTTTTTGAGCTTTGTAGCACCTTTGGGCCAAGTAAGGCCATTTGCTGTTCATAGGAAGAAGCCAAAGAGAATTAGCTTCCCAATTTTCAATATTTTTCCCCTGATTCCCACAATTATAGTTAGGGACATAAATTCTGTTTACCAAGAGAGCAAGAATATGCTGTGATATTCCCAGACCATGGTAGGACCTGCTTAGAGGGTTCTGTTGCTTAACAGAAATAATTCTGAGACCACATTGCCATCCTTTTATCTCATCTCTGCATGTTTTACATCTCCATCACATCTGGCAGTGGTGAGTATTTTCAGGTAGCATTTAGCTTCTGTCTTTGAGAAACTATTCCTATCTAGACTCTTTTTTCCAGGAATGAATGGGCTTCCTACTGCTTTTTACATCCATTAGCACATGTTCAAGTGCACTAACAGATCCTCTCCTGCCTCTGCACAGGGCTGTTGGGACCTCAAGGACCAAGAGGACTTCCAGGAGAAACCGGGATTCCAGGTCCCCCAGGTCCTCCAGGGCCACCTGCCACCCCGAGCCTCCCACTTACCTTCCAGCAAGGGGTTCTCTACTCCCTCCAGCCCACAGCTGAAAAAGAAAGTAAGCTTCTTTCTCTGTTCCCCTTTTTTTCTCTTTTTTTTCTTCTGGTACATCAGCAGGATGGACAGGCCCAGAGCAGCTCAGCTCTTCTTCCCACCTTCCCTGTTGTGCTCTGCCAGAGCTCTGCCTTCCCTAGAAGCAGCAGGATGAGCTGCCTGTGTTGTGTGGGTCTCTTGGAAGTTCCTGTACAAGATGAAACGTGGGTAAATAAATACAGTATGTCTGGCCAGTTAGGTGCTGGTGCTTTGAAACTGCATGGTTGTGAGATCTGGTGGTGCTGCTGTTGCAGTATTACAGGGCTCAGGGATATTCAGAAATGAGCAACTACTGAATGTTTGCATCTCTGAAGTTACATAACATAACGAGGACATCTGTTCAATGCAGCTCTTTTCCTGCCCCTGCAGACATGTCTCCCCACCTGTGTTTTTGGCACAGCATCATCCCTTATCCATGCAAAACACAGAACTGTGGGCTCAAAAGCCCAGACCAAGACTGTAATTTATTCTTTCCCTGTGGCTGGAGGGTCAACATTTCTTTGAGCTTGTGGTGATTTTAAAGATATATTGCTTGATTTGTTTTGTGCATGGCAAGAAAAGGCTTTCTTGGAAAGGCACATCATGCACTCTTATCTGTGCAGTCATATTCAGGCTTGATCTCTTGATTTCTTCTGGTCTGCTCTTGTGTTGCTGGCATCTAATAATGGTAAAGCAGAACTCAGACATATCTCTGCTTGGTGTGTAAACCCCTGGAGCCCCAGCTCTGCTGGTCTCCTATCTCCACTCCCCCAAACTTCAGCTGTGCCTTTTCCCCAGCTCTTCTGCTCATGTCCAGCTTCAAAGCACAGTTGTACTGCTTACAGCCAAGGATTAGTAAATCTCCCTGTGCCTGATGGCGTTCTAGAGCTTTCCTTTTCCTTCCACCCACTCTCCTTTCCAGACTTCTTTTCCTGTGAAGTGAACAGATGTAGTTTTAATTTGGAAAGAACTTTAACAGTTCTATTTTATATTCAGTTACTTAAAGCATATGGACAAGATTAAATTAATTGAGGTTCAATGCTAAGGTTTTTCACAAAATGTAGATTGAGCTGCTGCATTCCTGAGTCTTCTAACAAAGAAAATTCTGCATTAAGCCTTTTATTCCAAAGGATGGTCTAGGTACCATCACAGCCCCTTTCCTCCTGCCGCTATTTAAATTAAACTCTTGCAAGATAATGGATAGGCTTAAAAGCTTGCAAGGACATAGATTACATGGCCTTCCCAGCTGATGTATGAGAAGGGTAAACACTATTGTCCCAAAATGGGAAATAGGTAAACAAGTGTATAAATACCTGTATTAATTCAGCCACTACTGGGCAGCAGCAGGCTCCCACATGGACTTGAAGTCCATGAGCAAATGGTGACCGCTGCATCCTGGGGCAGCCCTGTATTTTTCCTACCTGTAGTGGATTTCTTGGTGCAGAAGTAGTAGCCAGGACACTTATCTTAGCATTGCTTCATTTATCTACTTTTGGGAGAACTCAGCAACTGATGTTGTCTACAGGTTTCCAAATGAAGCCCTAATGCTGTATGGAATTAAAATACCGCGGTTGCGGACAGTGGCACTGATGGAGCTGACAGGCTCTCCTGCATCTGTAACTCAGGTCATGTAAGAAGCAGAAAGCTCTACACTCCCTGGAATTTTGTGTCGCAGAATTTTATTTAATTAGTTTTGTAACTGATTAAATAAATGTTACCTGCTAACTGGTGGATGCTTGGACAGAGCAGAAAGCACAGGCCTTTCCCCTCGTGCAGCTGCCATGCCCTCTGCCAGCCACTGACAGCTTTATCCCAAACCTCATGCCTGAAAATGTTGCTCTATTCCACTCACACTTCCTTGGGTCCCTCGTGCTCCTTCTTTAGCTTTCGGTGGTGGTTGAGTGAGCCAGGCACTGCCAACTCCTGTATATTGCCCTCTCACTGAATTGCAGGAGTTAGAAGGGTGCAGCAGGGCTGTCTGCTGGGGGCACATTGTTCATCCAATTCCTCCCAGGGCATAGGCAGGGCTCTGTACTGTTCTGTGGAGATGAAATTTCCTATAGATGTGTACAGCAGACACTACGTGGAACAAGCTGGTTTTGTTGGTGTACTGACATTGGGTATGTGAGCCCAAAATCTCTAACAAGTTCTGTTGTTTAAGAGAAAAAAATCTCAATACTGATCTGCCAGTATAAGTCATCTGCCTGGTCATGGTAAAGTTATGCAATTTTGAGACCAGTTTCTTACAAAATTAATGTTTTCCTTACGTGCTGGCTGATTTTGCCTACCACAGGTTGGTGGAAAGCTGATCCTCAACAGCCAATAAAGCTTAGCCTTGCAAATCCTGCATAGGTTTTCCTTTCCTTTCCTTTTCTTTTTTTTTCTTTTCTTTTCTTTTTTTCTTTTTAATGGAGCACATCTGAAAACTATAAACACAAGATTCCAGCTGCTGACAGCAGAGGGAAGCATATTCCTGGTAATGGGCATGTGCACCCACAGAGATGTGAGAAAGCTGTATTGGATTATTATTAATACTGCAGTGTTTGGTTCCGCCTGAACGTGGTTAATGCATGTGCCTTTATTAATTACAATAAGTTCTTGTTGGCAATGTTTATCAGTAGGCAGAAGCCAAAAATGGGGAGACGTTTTCTCACAGTTTCACAGTGCGGCGGTAAAGAAATTGGTCCCAGTTGTCTCCCTCCAGATCAGGTAGCAGAAAGAAATTAGGACAGGATTACTTCATTTCCATCCTGTCTCAACAAATCAAGCTTATAAAGGGGGAATTTATCCCTTAGTCAGAAACATGAGAAACAAGCCAGAAGCCAGACTGCCCTGCCCCTCTGTTGGGGCCGCTGCTGCAGCACTGCTTTCCTTCTCTGCCACTTACAAAAGCATGCATCAGGTATGTGGTGTAGAATCAGCTCAGTGTTAGAACTGAGACATTGCTCTCTTCTGTGTCACAGTTACCAAATGCCTTTCATAAATAACTTTGAGTCCAGTGGATCTAATGTCAGTGTGGGTGGATTTGTGGGGTATAACTCCATCATTGTAATAACGTACCACTTAGCAGGAATGTTTTGTAACCCGAATGCTTGTTCCTGGTTTACCTCCAGCAGTAATTAAATCCCAGTTCATTTGTAGCCTATCCTCTCCTCCTCTCAGTGGATACACATTTCATTTTGTTGGCCACTTGTTCTTTAAAAACAAAAGGCTCTGCAATTGCTCTTCGATGCTCGTTTCCCAATCTCATCTTACTCCCGAACCATGATGGATTTTGACATGGTCAAATAAAACTCAAATTAATTGGATTACACACTTCACTTGGGTACCTTCCCTTCTGAACAAAAAAGCAGTCTCAGCTGTTTTGTGAAGAAGGGAAGATGGATGGGTCTGGAAACAATAGTCTAAGAAATACCTGTTTACATTCAAGTTTTAGGCTCAAAATTTAGTTCTCAGAGGGACCTGGGTTAGAGCTCATGCTGCTCTGCTGCCAGGAGGGCATTGCAGATGTATACTGTTGTCCCTGGCAGTTAAAAAGATTTCACAATTTCCCTTGGAGATGCTTTCAAACAAGGACATTGAACATTTTCTCTGTTGTTGCCAGTGCTCCAGAGTTTGAAAAGGCTTCGTGATGTGTCTGATAATGTTTCTGGAGATTCCACTGCATGTTGCTGAATCCTGCAGAGAAAACAAACATCCCTCCCATGTTCCTGGTATTATTTAATATTGTCATCAGTAGAGCACTGAGCCACCTGCAGAGTTTTACACCTGCAAAAAGTTCTCCAGAATTTCAGCATAATGAGTTAAAGGGATGGGTGAAAGGGTGTTTGAGACCATGGGCAGGAAGAAAGAGCTGGGCATTCTTCATTCTGGTGGCCTCCAAATGTGGAAAATGGGGACTTCTCAGAGGGTTGACAGAGAGTCAAGATCTCCAGGCGTAATCAGGAAACCTGCTGTTGGCTGTATAGGGCTGGCCAGGGGAATGGATTGTGAATCTTCATAGCATCAAGACCTGGGGGTTCCCTTCCTTGCTTTGTGTAATTGGTGTCTTTGTCAGTTGTGGAATTTTCATGCCTTGGTTTCCACACTGTCAAGCAGTGCTGTGGGATGCTCAGGGTGAAAAGATGCTGCTGTACAGGTACCCCACAGACTGCTGGCATGCTGCAATGCAGGTCTGTGGGGAACAGACTGGTTGATGGTGGTTTTGCAAGAAAAAGGGGTGCTTTTCTTTCATATGTAGTTGTTTTTTTTTTCTCTTCAGTTACCAACCGAAGTGGTAAGCCCAGTGGTTCAAAGATGTGACAGCTACAGAGTGATGAGCTTTACTCCCAGCAGGAGACGACTAAGAAAGATGTGCAAAAGCACAACATTACTCCAGTTTCTGCTAATGGCTTCCCTCTCCCTGCTCTGCTCCCATCTCCACCCATTCCCCAGACCTGCACAAGCTAAAATAATTATTGCTGTACAGTGCAGAGCTACTTTTAAACTGCTTCAGCATTCCAAAGGTAATACAATATGGGTGTGCAGGAACACCAGTTTTTGGACAGAAAGGACGATTCTTCAGGGCTTAGAAGAGATGGGATGAGATCTGGGGGATACAGCCTATGCTGTTGGATTGCTCCTGGAGTCCAGATCTTGCATCCAGAAGCTCTGCCTGCCCTTCACCAGCAACAGGCGCCAGAGGGTTTTGGAGAGAAAGTCCTGGGACTGGGCGGCTCTTGCTGCAGGGGCACTGACTGTTCTGCTTTTTAACACAGATGGAGAACCCCAGTTGGCTTCCACCGTCATAGATACCATCATGGCTGGCCTGCCAGGACCACGGGGAGCACCAGGCCCTGTGGGACCCCCAGGTAATGCACTCAGTTGAGCTGCAAAGCTGTAGCGATGGGGAAGAGGAGCAAAAGAATCTGAGGAGGAGAGGAAGTGTGCTGTGGGATGCCTGCGGGGAAAGCACGTGGTCCTCAGTGGAAGGGCTGTGGAGCCATGGGTAGTGGGTAGGATGGCAAGAAGTAACCAGTTCTTATCTGTTTACAGAGGCAGATTTTTCATGAGACTTCTAATGTTTCCTTGCTGCTTTGAGAGAACATACTCTGAAAAGGGAATAATTGAAGAGTGCCTTTAAGAGTGGGTTGCCCTTTGAATTCCTCTGTGGGAGCAGAGCTGTTCTCACTGCTGGTGCAATCCTGTCTGGTTGCTGTAGAGCTCTACTGAGCAGGATCTGACCGGCTGTTCTCAGTGATATCTCTGCACACTTTGGAGATGGTTTGAGCTACTCCAGATTTGCACCTATATAACTGACATCAGAATCTGGGACCAAAATTCAGTAGCAAATCTTCTGTTTCTCAGTGCTGATAGGTGGATTAAATGATAATATTCTTGCAAACATCAGCATTTCCCAGTATGATACATATTTAGGAGCGAACTCCCAGCAGTTGCAGAAAACTTTTCCTTTCATTATGAGGGCCTTTAATTTATCCTTCAGTTCCTTTATTCTCCAACTTAAGCATTTGTATGGTGCATTAATGATTGAGGCTAATTCAGCTGTACTTTGTACATGGTGTCTGTGTTGTTTCATCTCAAGGGTTTTGACAACCAAAGCAGAGAGGAGTATTACTAAATTCAGACTAAGCAAATATCCTGTCTCTCATTTCCAGGTACAATTTAACAGCTGCAGTTGGGATATAATTATCTTTCCAAAAGTAATGAATTTGTTCTGTGACTGTAAAACAATTTGACCTGTTCAGGCAGTGTTTAACATGTCCTGGAAACGGCCTCTTCTGTGATACAGACTTAAAAAGAACTTTTTTGCTACTGAAGTGAGCGTGCAAAGAACAAAAGAGTGCTTTGCTTTGCCACAGTTGGCTTCTCGTTCTGGCTACATCCAACCTCTGTCTCCTTTGTGTTCATCAGCACCAGAGACTGACTCATGCAGACTTGCAGACTTCCCTGGCCACCTGCAGGACTTCCTCCATTTCTAAAACAGCATTCTGCTCTGATGTTTCATGGATCTAGCTTAAGATTTCTTCAGAGCTGTTATTTTGCAGCACCTTGCTGTCATTCTTCCTGCCTATTTTCACCTTTTTTTTCCTCCCTGAGCTCTAAGAGCTTCCCTAAGGCACGTGTGATATTAGGATATGGGTGTCCAAGAATCCAGTGCATGATGTAGTACTTATGCTGCAGTCTTGGGATCAATGAATGGCTCTCACCCACTGGAGATGAAGTAGAACAATAAAAGGAAACGCGTATGTTTGAAATTTAAGAGCCTTGTAAGTCTCCTTAACATTGTCTCAACTGATGATTCCCACCAGGACCACCAGGTGCATCGGGACCCAAAGGGCCTCCAGGACCTATCGGAGTCCCTGGATCACAAGTAAGGGTCTTCCTGCTTTGGGCTGAGGGGCAGAGTTGGGGGGTAGGTGTGGAGCATCTTCTCATTTCAGAAAGAGGAGAACTATTTTATAGGTCTTAGATGCAATGCCTAGCTCCTCATGAAAGTCTGTGATTTTCATACCTGTCTTTCATAATGAACTGGGTTAAGAAGTTGAAATGGTTCTACTTTCCAGGTTTTCCCTCAATCATAACAACATATCTTGCTGCTACTGTGTCAAAACATTTCACCGTAGCCTTAGTTGATGCAAAGGATTTGACGTGGGCTTTACTAACATTGTGATAGAAAAACACTGCATTTCCTGTGGAACACATAAAAGAGGAAAAATGTGTCATTGAGAATTCACCAGTTCACCAAGGTGAATTTCTTCATCCTAATTTATTGGAAATAGCACTTTCCATTCAGTACAAACTTCACAAATTCGGATCAGTTTGATTCATTAGATATTGATACCAAAATTGTGGAGGGGAGGATAATTATGGGGAACTGTAAACTCAGTCAAAAGAATGTTTTATGGTGGAAGGGCAAAATAACTACATGGATGAAAAAAGAAGTTGAAAAAATGAAGGTTATGATGAAATAATGAGTGGCCAAACTGCTGCAGATGGTGGTTGGCTGATACAACAGGACTCCAGTTTGTGATGAATGTTTCTTACTGTAGAGGCAAACCAGTGACAACAAATATTTCTATATTAGGTATCTTACTTGAATTAAAGAGATAAAAGTGACTGAGGAGTACAGAAGAGAGAGAAAGGTTAAGTAATTTAGACAACGGATGTGACTTAGATCCTGATATGACAGGTTTGATACTGCTGGAAATTAGAGAAAGGAGACTTCTACTATGTATTTATTAATCACTTTGAAGAAGCAATGAGAGCAAGTTAGTGAAATTTTGCCAGTGTAGCAGAATCATTTCAATTAGTGAATGCTCTGGAGAGCGGTGAGAAACTCCAGATAGATATGAACACAGTGGGAAGTTTGGCAGCAAAACGACAGTTGCAGTTTAACATGATTAAATATAAGGTAATTCACAATTCATAAATAGGTTCTTTAATAGAGTCTGGCTTTTTCACATGCAGCAGGCATTATAAATTTTTTATTTTTAACAAGAGACTTGTTTAATTCAGTGTTCCTTGAGCATCCCTCTGCAAACACGCACTGAAGTCGAATGTAGAGAGCTGTCAGGTGCAGAGGTCACCTATGGACACTTGAGCTTTGTTCACGCTGCTTTTTGACATAAGGCCAAATCTGGTCTGTGCCCTACCTTGCTTGCCAGCCCTGGTTAACCTCCTGTATCACGCCTGAATCTCTGCATCTTTTGTGGATACAGAGGTGGTGTAGCTAAGCTGCCATCTTGCACAAGTTGGTGGTGAGCTGGTTGGACTGACTGCAGGCAAGGAGCAACGTGATAATGGTGAGCAGGGCTGCCTCCCAGATGAAGCTGAGAGAGTGCTTCTCCATTAGTCCCTCAAAATCCTGAAACTGGGAGAGCGTTCCTCCCACTGTCCCTTGAAACACTAAGGCCTGACCTTGTCGGGCCACTTAACTACAGGCTGAGGTTCCTGGCAGCTGTGCTAGAAAGCCCATTTCTCTGGATGCTGAGCGGTGGTGGGTAGTGGGGGCTGCTGTTAAACACGTCAGCGTGAAGCAGCAGCTGCCTGAAGTGGAGCTGGGGTTCCTTGCGCTGCAGTCTCCAAGGACTTCAAGTTCAAGTTACTTGAGGTGGAAAAAAGCATCTTGCATACGGTCATGTGGAGCTGACATGGTAAATAGAAACAAACAGTGTTGTTCTCTTCCTGCCTGGTTTCTCACTGTGGCTTCACTGGGTGGGTAATTTAAGAATTTGGATCAATTTCTGCAGAGCAGTTCAATTAGTAGAAGTCTGGAGACAACACCCTTCATAACCATTGGTGATTTGCTTTATAGATTTACTCAACCCAGGGAGCAAAATTATTAGTAGAGATTGGGCTTAATTTGAAAATTGTTTATTAGGGTGAGTGAATCGCTTCAAAATAATTTCCACTACACAATCCAATTAATTTTCAGGTATGTATGGTTACTCATGCCACCCACTGAGGCAATTATGAAGAGGGGGGAAAGCAGCGGGGATTTTTAGGCTAACCATACCATCTATTTGTTAATTTCTTCTCAGTCACTGAGAACAAGAACTATCCTGTCACATTGACCCTTCACAAAATGTTGTATTAGCAGCATGCAGTTCATTAAGAGAACTAAAAAGAGGGATATGTAGAAAATATAGGGCTTAAGGTATCTGCAAAAAGAGCTTCCATTGTTATTGCTTGAGGGCAAACAAGAATCCAGCCTAGTCACTTAATGCATATATGGGGTTTACAGAAGCTGAGGATCACTGGGAAATGTATTGGCTATATCTTCATAATGGATGTGCAATAGGAACTAATTTCTTCTTATCATGCATCTCTTCTAGGGCTTACCAGGCTCTCCAGGACAACCTGGGCCCAAAGGCTCCAAAGGAGACCGAGGAGAGAGGGTAAGGTTTTACGTATGTGGAGGGATTCCCAGCGAGATCTGGGTGAATGCCTTAGAAATTTGTACAACTCTTTCAGATTCTGTGGGACTGCAGCCATGATCCATTTTAAATGTAGAATTTCTAAGTCTTTTGCAAAAAGAAACCCAAAACAAACCAACAGGATGAAGGTTTCCCATACAGATAAAAGACCGAATAACTTACATAGTGTCTGGTGTTCCCTAAGGAGAGAGAGGTAATAAATACTTGGAATGTTAAACCTGGCAGAGGCCAGCCTTCTTCTGCCAACCAAAGCTCTTTAGTGTGGACTGTTTTAGATGTTCTGATGACTTCCATCTGTGATGGTAATGCAGTAAAAGCTCATCAAACTTCTCCTGAACCAAAGTTGTTCCCCAGGTCAAGTGATGCTCTTAATTTATTTAGAAAGTTTGCTATACCTCAGTCCTTAATGGTTATGTCAAATGATAATAACTGTAGCAAGAAGGGCTGTCGGAATACTATTTGCACACAGATGAAATTTAGGAACGAACAGAGAAAAATCTTAACAAGGATATATCCATGTCAGATCCCCACTCCAGCATTTAAGGAAGGGTTTCAGATGGCAGTTTGGCCTACAGCTGTTTCTGTCAAGCTTACTCTCCAAAAGGCCACGGTCTTTGAAATTGCTTCTGAGAAGCACTAGGGACACAAAATCACCTGAGATCTTAGTACATGGTGCAAGCATTGAGCAGTTAGATCTGCAAAATGTGGAAGTGGGCACAGATGGACTGTGGAACGTTAGTGAGACCCTACTGTGGAACGGTCAAAGAATTAAAGAAAGAGAGAAGAAAAATGTTGGCTGGCACCTGTTAGGAAGAAAAGAAAAAGATATCTGCAGTGGTGGCTGCATAGGCATGCTCTTGTGCTGCAGCTGTAGGGAACAAATTCTCTTCCAAGTGCCACTTTTACCATCACGTTGGAGGTCACTGCCTGCAGGTAGGTAGCTGTAGATGACGTGCATCTCCTTTTCTCCTTTTTTTCTGCTCAGTACTCCAATCCAAAAAAACAGAGGGGTGACCAAAGGTGCTAAAAAAGGCAAATACAAATTGGTTAACTCCTATTTGGTGACTTTTTGAATTCATGAGAATAACTAGTGAAATACTTATGTTCCTCTGTCCAGACTGTGCAAGGCCCAGGTGGGTTGTTTCATGTTCTCCTGAGGGACTTCACATGAAAGAGAAGGGGATATCTGAGAGTGGAGTAGATATGCTTTCAAAAAACTCATATTTATTTGAGCATCTTTGCCCATTTTATGGGTTCTTGGTCCCCATTCTTACATAAGAAACCACTTGAAAGAGAGCATCTTATGCAGGTCACCCACTTTGGGCATTTATTGGCTTTACTAATAGATTAGACTCTAATGCACTTCTGAGCCTAAAGTTCTAATAAAGAGTGAAACCGTAACTGTAATTTCAGTACAGGCTAGCCACTACAGCTTGTTGCCATTAAATGCTAACTTCCAGTTTAAAAAGAAAAGAAGGAAGCATGCCATTTAGCAAGGTGTCTAATTTCCATCCAGGAAACTGGTAAGAGCTCTTCCTCAATGATTCCCTGAACACGGTGCTTTAGTTTGTGGTTGGTCATATTGCTAAGAGTGTTACTGCACTTCCTCTGAAACAAAAGCTGTGATGCACAGTGTCCACATTCAGTACAAATGCTTGAGACTCTGATCTCATTCCTTCCTCGTATATATTCAGAGCTGTACCTCTCCTTCTAGGTTTGGGACAAATGAGATTTTCAAATACACAATGCTTTCCTAAATAGAAAAATGCTGTTTCCTGCCCTTTCTTCCTTAGCACGGAAAGCAGAGCTGATCGCTTTTTCTGGCAGAATTTCTGTAGGACGTTCTGTGTGCTTTTTGTCTTTTGTGAGTGTGGATTTGAATGCTGGTTTTGACAACTGCATGCTGCAATTTGGGGTTTGGTGGATACAAATTAGGGCTGGCTTTACACGGAGCGGAGGAGCTGTGCAGCTGCAAAGAAAAGCAGAGGAGGGTTGACAATATCTGTTGAGGTATGAGAAAATGTCATTATACATTCTTCCTGCTTAATCTCCGAAAGAACAGATGTAGAAAGAGACCTGAAGCAGTCTGAGCACATCCCCTCGATGGCACATTTGTGTGTGCCACTCATGATCAGTCTCTGTTCATCTAATTCTTAACGAGTGCCAGCGAGGGATGCGTCACATCATCTGCAGGCAGTCTGCAGAGGTACAGTTCTTGAGGGCCTGGGATAAAAGATACTTCTAACATCCAACCTAAATATCCTTTGATCCCCTTTAAGCTGATAACATCCTTTTCTGTTCCCCCTGGACACCGAGAACAGTCTGTTTATGTATTTCTAGTGTGTTGTTATGTCTCCTCTCTGTGGTTTGCTGCTTGCCTGTGCTTTTTTCACAGCCCTTGCTCCTTCCAGTGCAGAATCCAAGCATTTCCCTTTGAAGATGCTCAGAGCACCTGACAAACTGGGCTTCCTCCTGGCGCTCTCTGTGTCAGTGTGGGCCTTTGTCTGATGCTGTCTGGCTGTGCATTGCACAGGTCTCCACAGTAATGTTTTGAGATGCCCAAGGCCCATTTGTGTTCTACAAAGCAGCAGTGGGATGGACAGAGTAACAAAGCAGCTCTCCCTTTTTGGCAAATGCTACAAAAAGCTGCCGCCAGCTAGATGATTTTTGAGGAACAAAAGGATGGGTTTGTTTCTGTTTATGTTTAGGGAAAAGAGCCGGTTTCAGTGTGTGGCTGTTTCATCAATAGACTTCTTAAGATGCTTTTAAATTTTGCCTCCCTTTGCCCTGCCCCTGCTCTCTCATGAAATAATCTATAGCTTTTCTCCTAGTTAGGGAATTGTGCTCTGCTCCAGCATGTTCTGGGGTGGGCAACCAGAGCTGCAGAGGAAAACAGGCACTAAAAAGATGTTGAATTTGATGGCGTTTCATTCCACCAACACATACGGTTCCAAAATGTTTTAGTTTAGCCAAAAAGAAAGAAAGAAAGCACAGAGAACAATGTGAAAATCAGCACAGCAGGAAAAAGAAACACATCAACCAAAATACTGTGTGTGGGTTTGATCAGTAGCTGCTGGAGTTAACGCGGGGACGTGTGTGTGGAGCAGGAGGCAGATTAAATCAGTGCTCTGTGGGAGTCCTGGGCTCTGTTTGCTGTCTGGGGCAGCATCAGCCTGTCTGTTTTACTAGAGAGAAGAATGCTCTGTCTTTGTGAGAAACGAATCTCCAGCCAAATTCCTTCCTGCTATAATATAACTGACTGCTGTAAAGTTCAAGAAATTGCTAATCATCTTATGGAGAGGGTACCGAGTGGAGTAGCTCAGTATTTAACTGAGCGTCCCCAAAGTGTGATGGGATTTGGAGCTGATGCTTGACAGAAAACCATGACCCCCTTTTGCTGTCTCTAAGTGATAATGTCAAGGGAAAGGAATTTCTTCTTATTATCCCAAGTGTAAGGTTTTTCATTAAGCCATCTTAATTCCACTAGTAAAAAATGACACTGTGTTCTTGTCAAATGGAAAAACGTCTCCTAATGACACTTACTTTATTTCCAACAGGGGCAAGCAGGTCTGACTGGAGAGAGGGGCATTAAGGGATTTCCTGTAAGTGATGTACTTGCGGGTGTGTACGAGACTCAGTTGGGTTTGGTACCTGCCTGGCATGTCTGGTACCATAAAAAAACACTGAGCTGGTCTGCAGCTGGTTCAGCCAGCTCTCAGATACAATGCTCAGGTCAACTGACTCCAGCTCAGAGATTTGCTCAACAAGAGTCCTTACCTTGAGTATTCCTCTGCAAATGGAATGCAAAACATAGCACTGAAATGTGGAGTGTGTCAGAGTGATCCCATAGGCTTTCTCCACCTTGGGTGGCTCAAGGAATGGAGCTGGTGCCTTGCAGCTGTGAGTCTTCCTTCTAGAGCCAGAAGTATCACAGAGCAGCCAGATTCCCATTGATTTTTTTTAGGAGAGGAGGTTACTTGCTCTAAGTTCATTTGTTCTGTTGATAGCGTTTGCCTCATGGGAAGCCCTAGCTGCACAGTGCAAAGCAAGGTAGCATCTATGTCTGCAGCCTTACCAGCCATCTTCTGCTAATGGTCTTTTGTCAACAGGGCAGTCAATGGCATCAAGTGCACTGCAGGAAAGGACTGCTGACAAAGTCCTGTTAACAGGTCAGAGGTGGAGAGCAGTGATCAGGAAGGCAACATGCCAATGGAGGAGATGTGCAGTATTTGCAGATCCCCTCTAGCCAAAGTCTGGCAGACAGAATCCCTTCCCTGCCCTGTGAGGTTCCTGGCACTACCAGAGCTCAAAGGGCACTGTTAACCCAAGGTACATCAGCTGCTCTCGGTGTCCTCTTGCACCTTGATCTGCCAAGCTGAGCTGGAAAACCTTTAATGAGATTAAGAGACTTGGCCAAACGATTTTTTGGCAGTAGCTGAACCAGTGCACGCAGGCGATGTCTGCATAGGCATGTATGGCTAGAGTGCAAACAGAGCTGAAGTTTGGCTGAAAGTGAGTGGAACAAGTTGGGTGTCTTGACTGGCAGCATTCAGAGAGATCCTAGTTCCTCTGGGAAGTTTCTCTTCACCCTTCCTTAACTCCATCTCATCATACTGTACAGCTCCTACAACCTTTTCTTCAGCCCTTCATCCCATCCTCACTCTCTGCTTTGCAAGTATGTCAGGGATGTCCAGTGAGTCTGAAGAGTCCAGGCATTTCCACCCTATTTCATTCAGCCATTTGTTAGGCTTTGTCTTTAGCTTGTGGCTTAATCTCTTTGTGTCTTCTGTTCTTCAGGAAATGCACGAACTTAGGTTATGGGGAACATCAGACCAGCGTTCACAGCACGTAGGGATTTTGCTCACAGAAAGCTTAATGAGCATCTTCAGAGGCAGAAAATGATATGAGTAATTAATGAAAGAAGAAAGGAGGAATTTTATGGTGTAAATCAAAGATGCACAATTGCATGTTTGGGGGAGGAGAACAGCATTTCTTTCTCAACGCTGTGGACTAAGACATTGTTCATTGAGATCTGTTGTAGGTCCAGGCCATGGCAGCCAGCCCCTCGTGCAGCTTGGCCACCCCCAGCCAAGTTTATCAATGTGAGAAATAGCAGTGACCTCTTGGAAAGCTGCTGGGAGCTAGGGCAGAGCTCAGGAGTCATCTTTACTGTGGTCCATTGGAGGGAAGTGATTCTGGGCAGGATCCTCAGTCATATGGAGACAAATTTCTCTTTTTTGTTTGTTTTAGGGTGAACCAGGCAAGAAGGGCGAGGAAGGTGATAAAGGTGCTGATGTAAGCATGGGTTTTTACTGTGGTTTTGTTTTGTTTTGTTTTTGCTTTACTTTGTAGCTCTTTACTGTATTTTAATCATATTCCTTTTGGTTTGTGAGGGGCAAGGCTCCTGTAAGCAGTTAAAAGGGCAGCAGAGGAGATGAAGCTTGGTATACAACATACTGCATGCTAGAAAGCCAGGTCTTAGTGGTCTGTTGGCCATGTTGTCAGCTGCCCTCCTGCATGCTGAACACCTCCTCAGCCCCCACATGTTATTCTCCCACACAAAGCTGCTACAAGGTAAGAAAAGACTACCTGTGGCCAGCCTCAGAGCTTGGTGAGAGGCAGAACGAAGTCATAGACTCATAGAATGGCTTAGGTTGGAAGGGAGCTTAAGGATCATCAAGTTCCAGCCCCCCTGCTGCAGGCAGTGTCGCCAGCCACTAGATCAAGTACTGGATCAGATCCCAGGGCCCCATCCAACCTGGCCTTAATCACCTCTAGGGTTGGGGCATTCAAAACCAATCTGGGCAGCCTGTGCCAGCACCTCACCACCCTCTCAGTGAAAAACTTCTCCCCAGCATCTAATCTAACTTTTCCCTCTAGTTTAAAACCATTCCTCCTTGTTCTGTCAATACCTACCCATGTAAAAAGTTGACTACCCTCCTGTTTATAATCTCCATTTAAATACTGGAAGGCTATAATGAGGTCACCCCGCAGCCTTCTCTTCCCTAAATTGAACAAGCCCAGCTCCTTCAGCCCATCTTCATAGGAGAGGTGCTCCAGCCCTCTGATCATCTTTGTGGCCATCCTCTGGACCCTTTTCAAAAGCTCCCCATTTTTCCTACGATGGGGGTCCCAGACCTGGATGCAGTATTCCAGCTGGGGCCTCATGAGGGCAGAGTAGAGAGGGACAACCACCTCCCTCTCCCTGCTGGCCACTCCTCTTTTGATACAGCCCACAGTACTGTTGGCCTCCAAGCGCACACTGCTGGCTCAAGTCCATCAGGATGAGCACATGTGCCACTGTTTCAGTTTATTTTATAAGGCAGAAGCAAGATGAGGCTTGCCAACCCTCTCGCTTTTCTGGTGTCCCAATGAAGAGAAAGTCCAAGAAACTCAATGACGTTCAGAGTAAACGTCAGGCAAGAGCAAAACCTGTTCTCCAGGTAGTACAGTTATTAACATAAGCTGCATAACATAACATATTTGACAGGAATATACTCCCTGGGTTTGGCTCACTGTAGAAGCAGGAACCAAAGTGAAAGGTTTGGCTTAGTCAGAGGCTCTGCAAATGTAGGGTATAACTGAGGAGATTTTCTTTAGAGATTTCTCCTGCATTCCAACTTCACTCTTGCAGCTTATCTCATGTTTTTATGACTTCTCTTGTTAAATATTTACACTGCACAGTTTGGCATTACCAAGCCAACGTTATGTACAATAAGCCTGTTTTGCAAATATTTAGCACTATTGGTTTTCTTTTCTGTCTTGCAGGGGGAAGGTGTTCAACAACTTCGAGAAGCTCTGAAGATTTTAGCTGAGAGGGTCTTGATTCTAGAGCACATGATAGGAATTCATGGTAAGCCTCGCTGAAGTTTTCTTTTCTATACAACTGGGTCTCTGTTCAGGAAGCTGCCTGATGATTAGATGTCCTCCCAGTGTTCTAAGTCTCTGCCAATGTTACCCAAAAAAATGAATGATCCATGAAGTTCTCATTATTACAACTGACACCAAACCTATTTTCACAATCAGATTTAAAGAAAGTCTCACATGTTCCTCTAAATAGAATTTATATTTTCTATTGAGGCTGTTTGCTCTCCCATCATGGGTGCAATGTATGGCGTCATCCCTTTATGACTGCTTTCTTCCCTTAACCAGAGTGTGGGGTTGTGTAGTCATCACAGATCAGATTTCTCCCTTGGTGGTATTTGAGGATCAATTCTCTCAGAGCTGCCAAAAGTTGCTGTGCCAATTTCTTCCCAACTGAAACACAGCAGAAGCAAAATACTGGTTGAATCTACTATCTCAGGCTGTGAGACACAAGGCAGGTCCATGACACTGAGCTGAATATTTCTTAACTAGATTAATTAGGAACCTCACATGGCCTTGCTTGGCCACGGAACTTCATTCTTGGCCCTGCTTTTAAATGGAGCTGCTACCACACCTTCCCTCAGATCAACATCCACTTCTATTCTCATGGATATTTATATGGCAAATGCTTAGTTTAACTATCTAGAAGTTCCAGATGACTTAAAGCAGTAGTGCAATAGGCTTTGAGAGCCCACAAACCACTCCTGCAGCCAGCAGTCTGCTAAAATGAAAATGCTGTTGGGCACTTCAAAGCCAAAAGAGTGTTGGTGTGTAGTGCTCCACTGTATGGCTGAACAGGCTTGGGTCTCTACACCATCCTCACTGTTCAATGGAGATGTACCTTTTAGAGGCTCAAAGCACTAATTCCAAAAGCAACAGGCAGCAGCACGAGCTTTGGGAAATCATGAATCATGAACCCATGATTTCAGCTGCAGTCATCCTGACCTTACCTCTGCATTAATCTTAGTTTGTTTCATGTTTTCACGGGATTTTATAGACCAAGAAGAGATATTTTTATGCTTGTTTGCTTTGACCTGGTGACAGTGCCAGGAAGATGCCTATTAGGCTCCCTACATAGCAATCCATGCCTACCTGCCTGGTCTTCTGCTAGGAGTGGAAGGGGAACCCTGTCTGTAACTACAGCCCAGCGAATGTCACAGATACAGGACCCGGGGTCTAATCCTCCATGATCTTTTACTTTGCATCTCTGCTTTTACTGTAAAGCAAAAAAATCAGCTCTACAAACTTGTATAGACAATGGAGCATGAACTAGAGAATGCACACAAAGTTTGCCACTGCAGAACTGCCTCGTTTCTCAGTTTTACATGTTGTCTGTTTGGCATTTCAGCAGCATTTTAGCAAGCCATTTTTACTGTCATAAACGTGTTTTCTGCTATTGCCTGGGATGGACATGAGTTATTTGTATCTATTATACTCTATACCAATGTAACTACATCAGCAAAAGTAGATGATTTTTAATTGCACAGCATTTAAAAACTATGTTTAAACATCTATGTTGCATGACTTCATATAAATATTTCCCTTTTTATCCAGTAACAGAGAATTATATTTTCATTCTGTTTTTTTGAAACAGTTCCATTCTTAAGACATACTTAGACTCTACAAAAATACTACTTAGAAAAAGAACTTAGAAAGTGAAGCATGTTTTCCTTATGCTATTATGTTCATCTCTGTTTGTGAATATGCTTTAAAAAGAAAAAAATGGAAAAAGACATAATGCAACAAAGCAGGGCTTCCTTGAGCACAGACCTCCCTTGCAGTGAAGGGCACCACGCAGCTCTAAGTCACCCAGCACCAACCACCTGGTAGTTTTCCCAGTGGAAGTGTCACAAATCTTACCACAGGTTCCTGGGTAGCTCAATTCCACCCAATTCAGAGACCCACGCAGAAATGCCAATCGCATGCTCTCATTTTCCCAGGAAACTTCATGGTTTCAAAACCACAGCCACCCAAGCAACAAGGCAAAACATACCAGCAAACAAACCTCTTCTCTGCAGTGGGAGATTATCTGGCCCAGCACACAGTGGAGAGCAGCCCAGCAGGACACAGGAAAGCCCAAACTGTTTGGCAGTGCATGCTTGCAGCGAGCACAGCACAAATCCTGAAGTCAATTGCTCCCTTGGCATAGAAGTGCTGCCTCAAGTGAACGAACCAAGGCTGGGGGGTCTGGTGTGTGAGGCTGAACCCTTGGCAGGGAAATGAGCAAACAAACATCCCTCTCGGAAGGTAAAAGGATGAAAGCAGGGCATTCCAAGTGATGAGGCAGCATTGCATTGGCAGCATCTGCTGCTGACTGCTGGGAAAATTGAAGAGTGGCCGTAGTCAAAAGCACATCTAGCTCTGTAAAGCAGGATGCTGTAGGAAGAGGACGTGCGTGTTAACATGAAGCATGCTGGGAGAGCAGACAGCTAATATTTATTCCCAGCTTCATGGCTAATGTGGCTGTAGCCTAGGGTGAATCAAGCTTTTCATTCAATCCTTTCAGGAAAGATGTCCACCTTCACAAGGAGTGAAATGGTACCTCTGTCCCCAGGAACATCACTTCTGTGTGACCCCTTGCTAATGCTTTATCCTTCAGTAACAGGAGTCTGTGGGCAATGCTGAGTAGCCATTGCAGCCCAAGGCAAATTGTGATCAATAACAGAGCAGTGTTTTTTATAAAGGAAGGATATATAAGAGATTTATAAAGGAACAGGAGCTGCTGTGTTGCTTGCAGTACTAGTATTTACCCAAAAGAGTTCAGAAAGGGCTAAATATTGGAGTAATACGATGGCAGCAAACACGACTTCTTGTTGGATAGAAAGACAGCAGGAAGGACGACACTTCTTCCAGAAGAGGAATCATTCAGAAAGGCCCATTCAGTCTTTCCTTAGCCTCCCCTTTTAAATAGTGCTTTCCCGTGACTTTCTCTCCTTACAGACTCTTTATCTTCCATTGAGCCAGGCTCTGGACAAGACGTGATCCCGGGTTCTCCTCTGCGAAGCAGCATCAAGATCAAGCGTGGAGGACCTCAGCAGCCTCAAGCCTACCAGATCCTCTCTTCACTGCTGGATGACAGTGAAGCCAAAAGGAGAAGCAGTCGGATGAAGTAGGAGCATCTCTATCTTCTCCCTGCCCGTCCACCAGTTAAAGATACAGTATCCCAGTGCTTAATTACAGAGTGCAAATGAAGTGAGTAGGAAGCTCTAGTATTGGCAGTTGGATTTGCTTACCTGACCAATGCTATGCCCTTATTGCAGGGAGTACCTTACCCAGAGCTTGGAGAGGGTTGTATGGACACTTTTCTTGATTTTGTTATTTTGCCTTTGGAATACCAGATGTCATGGATCCTTGGAAGCTGTCCATAGCAATAACACCTCCTGAATATGTCTCCAGAGTTTAATCATTCCCCTGTTCCCCACAGCCCTTGAAAGTCAGTCGGTAAAGCCCTGCTTAACTGGCTGACATAATCAATCCCAACTAGGCTCAAAGCCAAACCTTAACCTTGTCCTTCAGTGCAGTTGGTGGCATCTGCTTTTGTTTCATGCAGTGGTGTCAAGCTGACTCCCAGTTGAAGGTAACACTTTCATAAGCCTTTAAAGCATTCTTATCTGCAGGGATTTCTCTTAAGCAAAGAACAAATTGGAAAATTCCAGGAACGTTTTAAACTGTTCATCTGAAAATTCTGATTACTGTTCAGAATTCAGCATCAAAATCTCTACTCTACATGTTGCTGATTGCATGTGAATGGCATTAATTGTATTGGTGAAAGGACTTTTGATGAAAATGTTGATAGCGTACACTGACTTCAATGAGATCTGACTGTTTCTGTGAAAATTTAGAGCAGATGGATGGAATATAATGGAACTGCAATGGAATTTTACCATGCTGTGTTCATTTTGCACATACATACAGAGAAAGTTTAGTAACACCAGTAACTATTATCAGAAAATGTAGAGTTAAGAAACTATTACAAAACATCAATAAGGAAAAGTATTACCATGGGTTTTTTTATTCTATGGGAGAATCTTTGCTACTTGAATCCCCAGACAGTGTAACAGCAAATCACACTCTGGGATTAGTCTTGACAGGAGGTTATCCTGCACTCAGAAGCTAAATACAAAATCATTCTACTACTTGCAATAACAACTTTTTGACAAAAGTCCCAGCATTCAAGGTGAAGAGACTGAACCTGCCCTTCAGTGACCAATGAATCTCTTACACCTTCTGTGCAAATCCAATTAGACAAGCCATTCATGTAGACATAGAATTTTGTTAGAAATGGTAAGACTGATCGACACAACCAATGGTACTGTTTTTACTTAGGTGTATATATATATACATTTATCACTCTTCTGTCAAATTTTCACCTTTAGACCAGAACAAAAGTGAGCAAATTGTGTTTGTCATCTTAACACATCAGTCACAAACATTTGTTGCATTCTGTCTGCTTCCTAGTGCAAGGTATATAGCTATCTGAAAGAGTCAAGCAGTACTGCTACAACTACTTTTTGTCAAAAGCTTTTGTAGAAACCAACGTATGTATGTATGGTCCGTGCATTCAGGAATCCTCATCATCCAAAGTGACCTTTCTAAGGTAAAAACACAAACATGCTATACTGGAAATGAACCTTAAAATGAAGTAGTTTTGCCAGCCCATTGACCACGCATTAAATTGACCTTTTGCATATATTGTAAACACACAGAGACATCATAGCACCCAAATGTTACCTCTGAAGGGCATTGTATTTTCAGAAATGAACAGGATAAAGGCTACTTTAGAATAACTGAGTTTGCCAAATGGGTTCGTTTGGCCCCGTTCCCTAGAAATCCAACCATCCTTCTCAAAATGGGCAAAATAGCATAAGTTGATGCTTAACAAGTAACAGAGAAAATTGTCCACATGGAGAAGCTTCTACTGCTGTACAGCTACATAAATAGCTGAGGAGAAATCACAGACCAAGCTAAACATGTATGCTGAGCAGATTGGTGCAAGCTAGAGGTACTGGCTGTATTAAGGGTTCAGATTCAGGAATTAACCAAGCAATATTGAAAAGGTGAAACATTAAATTTCATTTCACTGGTCCTATGACTTCAGGGTTGAATTTGGAGCAAAAGAACAATGGGTCCATTTTCATTTCCCTGGCATTTTGGAGCTTTCACATTGAATTGAAAGAGAAATGTTTTTTCCTCCGAGTTTGCCCTTATGAATTCCAAGCTATTGCATTAGCTTAATGAGTACTTTCTTCATTCATATTGACTAGGATTTCAGATTTTAAATGAAGAAGTTATTTAAAACAAATTAATGGTAAGATGAAAGGGAATGTAATTGAAGTTGTTTCCAATTAATCCTGCCAAGCCAACAGTCATAAGATTGGTTAGGTTTGGGTTGCAACAGTTTTAATTATTGCCTTTTCTAAATTGATTTAAGAGCTATGTCAGCTTTTGCTCTCCACACTTCTTGCTTTGTTCCTGTATCTCTCTTTCACGTGGAACTGTATCTTTAATTTGGGTTACAGTGGGATTAAACCAACTGGACTTCCCCTCTCACCTGGAGTTTCGTTCCTCACTACTTACGCAATGGTTGGACCATGCTCTTGTACAGTCCCAGTTTAAATATGCTGTGAAGGTGAACACAGCCTCACACTCAGCAATTAATGGCATTCATGACTAAGCCAATCACTCCAACCACATTTCCCATCTTAGGCAGGATACTAAGATTCATTTAGCCTGGGCATCTACGCATCTTGCCATGTCTGTGTAACTTAGAGAGTGGATTTATTTGGATGCGTGCTCATTTAGAAATATATTTTAATTGAAATGTTTAGTGCTTTATCTTACATGCATACTGTGCAATACCATAGTGTGTTCTTTTCCTTTTTTTCCTAAGACTTCTTTGAAATTCTTCATGTTTCTTTGAACGCCAGTGTGTTTCTAACTTGGATCAGTTCTGGTGGTAGAAATGCATTCTCCTTGCTGTGAGCTAACCAGAAGCACATTGCACAACTGAAAAATCTTTGCAACTTGTGCACCCTGACGTTCACCAGCAATCTGGTACACCTGGGAGGTGGAGAATGCTTCTCTCCAGAGTATCCAATTTGCACTTACTGTAAAGAATTGATAGCAACCTGGGGAAATAAGAATAAACCAGAGAGAAGAACCCTCATCTGCTCCCACCAAACTCCACAGTAATTTTCCCAACACCTTCCATAGGAACAGGGACAGGCCATAATAAGCAGATCCAAGTTGCCAGCTCACAGGAACTGGTGCACATGGCTTCCTGAAAGTTTGGCTCTGGGATTCACTTTCAATCCCAGTCTCTTCCATGAACTGTTTTAATGTAATGAACCCAACCACTGTGACAAAGGCTTCCAAAAGACAATCAGCTTCTGGAATTACTTCTTAATACAGTATATTGGAAATTCTTTCTCTTCCATGTTTACAGCTTCTGCTTTACTCGAGATTACATTCCGTGCTTGGTGATATAGGGGTTAAACTACTTGCAGTTTCCATTATTGCTTTGAAACCAGGCAATTCAAAGGTGCTGTAACTGTCCACAGTGCACATTCCCACCCATAGAAGGAAACGTTAACTTTTTCACTACTTATTTTACGCAGTATCTTTTTATTTATATCAGTGTGTTTTGTATGTGTGCAAATGGTCCCATTGTAATAAGCTATACAACATTTGGTCTTTAATAGGGCAGCCATAGGCAGTATTTTGCAGTCGTGTAGTTTCTAAACTTAGAACACAAATAAATAATCTCTTCTGACACGATGAGTTAATTTATGGCAGGCTCTAATGTTTGTTGTAAACACAACCTGTTTGTTCCACCTCTTGCATGGTTACTTACCTGTTTTCATATTGCTATGTTATTGTTCAAGATACCTATTTCTCTTTATTTGCTATGGGTTTTGTTACTGTATATGGAATGTTTTGTATTCAGCATTTTCTTACAGAGCAGAGTGGGAACAGTATTCAAGAACCCACAAATACCAAAGACCTTTCATGTAATGCACTGAGAAATAAACATACTGTAAATGAGTATGATGTCAGGTGTCCTGCATTTACAAAGTTCAGAGCAAGTTCAAGCAGAATGCATCCTGAAATTAAGGCATCTGTTTTTCTTTCCTGCCATCTCAGCTTTCTCTCACTGTATGTATGCAAATCCGGGTAGGGAAGGAAGGAAGGAAAGAAAGAAGGAAGAAAAGAAGGGAAGGGAGCCTTGGTAAGCCTTCAAGCAACGTAAAGTTTGCACATCCTGCATTGCAAGGAAGCCTCCACAGCCAGGCATGGGAGGAGGTGGCAAAGGACCCCAAGTGCTTCTGTCATAGGTGACACGTCTGGTTTCTGAACTTGTTTTTGCTCCCTAATACAAACAAGAGATGTGTAAATCACAGCCAGTGCTCTCCCCACTGGTCATATCACACCATAGATACGCAGCTATCACTACTGTAGCAAAGTACTGTAAACAACGAGAAACGTCCACAGAGTCAAGGCCTCAACTTCATGCAGATCTTTTTGCAGTGCTGATCAGGAGAGGCTCAAGGTAACTTGTTGCCAAACATTCCCATGCAGCACTGCTCTGGGTCCTTCAGGGTGTATTTATCTTGTTTTTGTGTCCAAAGATCTCCAACTCTGATATATTTATCCTTGCACAAGTCCCCTGAGGGAAGGCAGGGCTGTTAATCACTAGTGTACGGATTGGGAGTTGCTGGATAAAAGGCCAAACTAATTTCTTGGGACGTTTGTGGCTGCATTGGTCTGCCAAGTACCAATTAGCTTCAGGTCTGTGCTGGTCTCTGGGCCATTGCGGCCAGGGACTGTAATCATAGGGGAAATGGTTCTTTTCCCAATGCTTAACACAGTACAAGGAAAATCAATGGCAGAGTTAACAGCTTGCACTTCTAGCAGGAGCTGATCCCCAAAACACACACAAGCAAAATACTGATAGCCTTTGAATAAACTGTCTTAACCCTTCAATCCCATTTTTTATCCACATGACAAACTGCATAACATATGTCCATAGTTCAGCGAGGAGAAGGTGTATTAGCCACTGTCCATTGAATAAAACACAGCAGTCCATTCTTAACAATGACAGTGATTAATTACTGCAACAATTTGCCAGAGGATGTGGTACAGCTTTTGCCACTACACATTTTTCAAATTAAGTGGACTTTCTCCTCCTAATTGTGTGTGTGTGTGCGTGTGTGTCTGTGTATTCCAATTCCAAGCAGAATTAATTCAGCAAAGCCATCATGGACATTACAAATGCCCATTCTTGAACCTGCCTGCATTGTGTGCAGTTCTACACAGTGCTGGGTAGATCTGCTGCTGTTTCACTGTCTATACAAATTCATTAGTGCATGCCAGCAAGAACTTTTTAGTAGCTTCATACTAAATGAGGGATGCCCTGAGCACACCTCCAGGACATGCACTCTTTGCACAGAGGTCCAACCTACACCAACTGACCATGAAAAACACTCAGCATGGCAACTGTGGGCTGAGATGGGCCAAGGACCAAGACAAGCTGGAGGTGCCCCACTGATCCTACACCAGTGAGTGGAAGGGAAAGGCTGAGTCAGAAAGACCAGAACTGTGTAGCACCAATGTGGCTGTGCCAGCAAAAACCTGACTTACGCATAACTGGATGGAGTTAATGTTCAGCCAATAACACCAACACTGCAAAGGTTAGACTTTAGACTTAGATCAGAAAACGTATTGGCTGAGAGATCAACAGTGCACTATAGGATCTCTCTGCTCCTTAACCACAAAAACGTCCTCAGAAATGGATGGAGCCCAGGTCTACCTGGTGACAGGAGGATGTGGTTTTATTGGGGAAAAGATCACAGAGCTCCTGTCTCAACAAGACTACATCAAAGAAGTCAGAGTTTTTGATTCAGTAGCAAGAAAAGAAGTAGAAAATTTTGCCACAGGTAAGAAAAGAGCATCAACTTGAATTTAGCAGACACAACCCTCCCTTTCAGGACAGGTGGTATTATGCTGGAGATACCACAGTTACAGGCATGGGGTGGAAACAAGGATTGAACAGACAAAACCTATGCTCCAATAGCTAAAAATTCAAAAAAACAACCAAAAGGCAGGCAACAATAGAATCAAGCTCAGCATCTGCTACAGATATTGCATAATAAATTACTTAATTGTGAGAGAAGCCTACAGCCAATGTGCTGTGCATAAAATGGAAGAGGTGAGGCTCAGTAAACATGCTCAAAGATATTAAATTATTCAATTTGATCACAATTCTGAATGTTGCCTTCTGATGTTTCACCAGAACTGATTACAGTGAGATATGTAGGGGAGAAGCAACTCGTTTTACTGGATTTGAGAATACCCACCCCAAACAAGCCAACCAACTCACATGGCTTTGCAGGGTTAGTAGCAGGCTGAGGCTCTCTCTCTCTGACTGTCCAACCCCTCAGCTTGCTTCCACTGAGAAAGTAAAAATGGCTCAGTGTTTTTTAAAAACAACCTTCACGATTTGACAGCCTACCTCTCTACTGCTTTCTCCTTTAGGTTAGGGAGGACTGTGGTGCTTCTTTCTTTTCCATAGTTGACAATTCTGCATCCCACTCGCATTGCTCTGTTCTGGAAAAGCGTCACTGAGGGCAGGACAGAGGCCAGCTGTGGCCTTCCCAGTGCTGAGTAAAGCAGAAGAATGTCATAGAATTATAAAATCATTCAGGTTGGAAAGAACATCTAGTCCAACCATCAACCCATCGCCACTACACCGCTAACCATGTCCCTCAGTGCCGCGTCCACTCTTCTTGTGAAAACCTCCAGGACAGTGACTCCGCCACCTGCCTGGGCAGCCTACACCAACATCTCACCATTTGTTTCTTCCGTCCTGCACCATAATCCCTTTTCTTGCCTGTCAATCCAATTAAGCCTTTTTCCCACTTGCAAGTTCCTGCCAACAAGTGATCTGGCCCAATTATTTTATGAGGTAGGTTGGGCCTGTTACCTCTTCCCTACTACACCCATTATCTTCTCTTTGTCCCTATCTCTATCAGCTCATACTCTAATCATCCAGCATACTTTGGAACCCTCCCATTTAACGTTATCTGCTGATTTAACAAATATGCCACATTCTTGATGAAAACAATGAAAAGACCTTAGGGTAGCTACCTACCACAGCTGGCAGTTCCCTCGGAGCAGTAATTCAGCTTCGTGCTCACCCTCATGTGGCTTATTGGGACCTGTTTGACTGATTTGCTTATGGGAATGACATGGAGTCTCCAGACCCCTTCTAAAATCAGGACAGATGACACTGACCTGCTCTCCTACGTCCAAGTGTCATAAGAACAAAAGAGATTTATCTGACATGACCTATTCTTGACAAATCCACATCAGTTGCTACTATTCTCCTGGTTATCCTGTGGGTACTTACGCACATATTCTTCAAGCACACATTCCTGAAATTCCTGGTGTTGACATTAAGCTTTTCCAAATTTTCCTGGCTCTTACTTTACCTCCCTTCTAAACGCAGGCGTTTCAGTTGCACTACTTCAGTGTTCCACTGCCTCCACCAAAAGTTCTCTGGAGTATATGATAAAGCAGTAATCCTGCAGTTACATCAGGTACCCAATTAGCAGCCCTGGATAACACTCATCAGGCCTTAACAATCTGCAGATTTCTCTTGGTGCTTGACACCTCTCTGCTTATCCCTGACCGCTCTCTTGCTGGTCTTAATTGCACCCAGCTGCCTTAAGACAGGTGATCAGAATGAAGCCATATAACACTTCAGCCCAGGAGGCTCATGTAAAAGCATGACAATTAGTGGTAGATGCCAATAACAGCCATGTTTAGAACAGCTATTCAGAGACACAAAATAGAAGGAAGGAGGAAAATTAGCCAGACTTCTCAGCGGCTCAAAGGAAGGAATTTCCTAAAAAGTTTTAACTAATATATTGTATTATTTTCCCTCCCCCACCTATAGTATTTGCAATTTAAATGGAGTTCTGGGCAATATCCTTCAAGCTTGCTTCATGTTATTCCCACCATGCTGTAGATATCTTCTTCACGTGTCCCAGAGTAAGTCCTCAGCCAGCCCCAGCTCAGGCCCAGCTGTCTCCCCATGTAGCTCAGTGCTATCCTCAACTCCATGTGAGATCCCAGTGACAGCTGCTGTTATTCTGACCCACAGCTGGTGTAAACTGGCAAAGTGCTGCACTGAATTAAACCAGATGTGTATCTGGTTTCTTGGGGTTCATGAAATGGGGATGTACTTCCCCCCAGGGCAATGTATTCCAATAGTACAGTTGGCAAGCTGCTTCTTGCCCTGCTGAGAAGAAAGCTTTCCAGGCAGGATCCTCATTCTGCAGGAATGTGAAGATGCTGTTTTGTATTTTTTCCCCTGCATCTATGCTTATATTATTCTTCTCCAGCTACCACTCATGTGACAGTGATGAAAGGAGACATTCGAGACTACAGTCTGCTCCTTGCTGCCATGCAGGGCGTTCACGTGGTTATCCACACAGCTGCTATTGTGGACTACAGAAACACTTTACCCTTTTGGGAAATGAAAGCTGTCAACGTTGGGGGTAAGTTCTTTAAAACAAGCAATTAAGCAAAATACATCCTTAGAATCGTAGAATCATTAAGGTTGAGGAAGACCTCTAAGATCATGTAGTCCAACCATCCACCCACCACCAGTATTTCCCACTGCCCATGTCCCTCAGGTGCCACATCTCCAGTGCTCTGGATTGCCTCCAGGAACGGTGACCCAACCACCTCCCTGGGCAGCTGTGCCACTGCATCATCACCCTTTCTGAGAAGTTTTTCCTCATATTCAGCCTTAAATACAAACGCCTTGGTGTGAAGTCATGCAAGAGACTACAAAATATGTATCTCCTCTGGTTAAGAAGCGTTAGCTTCTGTGTCCTCTAAATTTGCAAAGTTAAATCTGGACCCAGACATTGGATAAGTTATTCTGATCAAGGACATAACTTTCACTAATAGTACTGATTCAGAACATAGCTAGAGTGGTAGGAAGCTGTCTGGCATGTGAGAAAGACATCAATTAAAGTTGAGTTAAAGTGATGCTATTTCTAACTATTGTGTAACTACATGCCACACCTAGCCAAGAGCTCCACAGCGTTTTCTTCCTATCACCAAGAGCTGCTTTCATGCTAGGTGCAAGATCTGATTAAAGAAAACTTGTTCAATCTCAGAAATAAGCACAGCCTATAAGAACAATGAAATCCCAATTACAGCAGCAACTCCACTGGTATCTCTGGCTGTTACCTACTAAAACAGCTGTGAACCAGAAGGAAAGAATTTTGTACACATATATACACACCAACTTGGTAACTGCTTAGGGCTCCTACTACTTGCTGATTCATTCAAGGGCAACATTAAACTACATTGCTGTAGTTATTTCCAAAACCAGATGCTTTTAAGAGCCTGTATGGTGTGAGCACACCAAGGATACTCAGAGACAGAGGGCTCCCACTGCCCTTTAGAGGCTTTGTGAGATCTTCCTTTTCATTGCCAGCTTGCTGCCTTCCCTTGGATGGCTTCAAGCAGACCTGCCTACATTGGGCTGCTGCCTTCACCAGGACTGCTCAAAATCTAGAGCTGAAAGATACAGTTTTCCATTCGTCATTGCGGATAGAAGAATGCTGAACTGTATTTCACACATACTGTAGAACTCATGGAAGAGAAAAGAGTCAGGACAGGTATATCATCCTAGCTGGCTCCTGTATAACTCAGGTCACAGAAATTCACCCAATGACTGCCTTAAGCACAACAATTTGTGGATAAATTGAACAGCCAAAAGATTTTTTGCCTAGGATTAGGAACTGCAAGTAAATGGGCTATCTATCAAGTCTTTCAGCAAATCGTAATGGTGCTTAAGAATATTAGTGTGGCTGTAGTTAATTACTATAGCTGGCAAGAATTTACGTCTTTGTTCTGCTTTGATACCCTCCTTTGTTTCAACCTCTAGTTTCTGAATCCTTGACTAGATTGAGGAGCCCATTTAGTCACTTAGTCTTTTAAATCTGCTTTTTGTTAAGCTGAATGATGTTAATTCATCTGTTTCCAATTATGTTTATCAACTGAGGTTGTCAGTAACTTTATACAGTGGTAGGTTAATGGAGAATTAAATTATTTTCCACTGGTCTTCATACTGACTTACGATCTCTGAAATTATCCTAAATTCAGGATTTCTTTGATAATTTTACCAGGAGTCTGTTGCAATGGTTTTCACCCTTCAGTCACCACTCACTTCTACAAAGCAATATATGCAACTAAAACACCAATTCTTTTGTCAGAAGACTGCAGTTTACCATGTTGCCCATGCAGTTGTTAATAACCATAGAGATCGTCACATTACAACTAAAATTGTAGCTGCTGCTCTGGTGTTATAAACCATCCATACCTGTGCAATTGTACCCAAGGGACAACAGCTTTAACCTACGGCTATGAAAAGGATGGATCTATTTAAGACCTGTAAATCTCATGTGACCTGTATAGTAGAAACCAAAGTAGTTAATATTTCTCCTTCCCGACCTGCCTCACAGGTACTGAAAATGTGTTAAGGGCCTGCTGTGCCCTGAACATCCCATATGTTGTCTACACAAGCTCCATAGCTGCAGTGGGACCCAACATTTTGCACGAGCCCATGCTCAGGTAAGGCCCAACACATTGTTTTCATCCCTACAGATTTTTGCTATGAATCCAAAGCAGAACAAGCGTGCTCCCAATTCTGTTGATTCCTTCACTCCTTCATGAAAAGCACACCTCCTTTCAACATAAACTTGAACAGTATTGGATACACCTCACTGAAAGAGTTGGTTGTGAGATGTAGGACTTAACAGCACCTCCAGGCTACCTTCCGTGTGTATGGACCTGTTCTTCTAATCACTAAAATCAGTTTGGCATTGGATCTCAGCCACTCAGGGTTTGACAAGGCCAAATTTTATCTTGCTGTTGGGTAAAAGTTTTTTTCTCTGCTTCACACTGAGTTGGCTCAATGGGTAGGTGATGCTCCATCACAGACCAACTTTCCCTGCCTGTTAACTCCATAGTGAATTGCTAGCAGACCTGTGACAAGCTCTTAGTATCAAAAGAGAGCAAAGTAGAGCTTTAGAAGCCCTCCAGGGCAAAGATGGCATTCGGAACAATGAAAGACAAAGGCTGAAATTACAAGTTGGGGTTGCCTTTTCCTATCTTTGATTTCCAGAATGGACTCTCACAATCAGCGGACATTGCTGTTCAGGACCCGGATACCTTTGGTATTCATGGGACACAGGAACTGCCCTGGGGCACTTGAACTCCTCTTTCTGAAGATCAAGAACTGAAGTTCTGGTTAAATTTGAAGTTGGGTGGAGATGGGTGCAGTCTGACACACAAAACTGTAAGGCTTCTTGTTAATTTGCACAGGCTGCTCAAACCATGCAAGCTTGTGTGCAGGGGGAATCTGGCTCAGAATCAAGTTGTTTCTCTACAGGCAGTCAGTCTAGACATAGCTGGCTTCAGTCGCTGGGCTCCAGCAATTGGAGCCTGGCTAGAAAAGGCTGCTTAAGGCATAACTTAAAATGACCAACAAGCCTAAATTTCATACTCACAAGTAAGCTAAGCACAGTTGTTCTGAAGAGCATTTAAATACCCAAGTCCATAGAAATAAATGTCTCATATGAAAAAGTCTGTGAGAACAAAAAACCTCAACCCACTCGGGAGCATGAGCACTAGAAGTTCTAGTATCAATGAAAGGCTATGAAATTTGGTTATTAACATATCTAAATCACTTCTAAAAACAGATGTATGTGTTCGTCTTTCTTAGAATTATAGTCCTGTAACTTGAGATGCATGTAAATAGGTGTTTTGATAAAGATTTGTGGTGGATATCCCAAATGTTGCTTGAGAGGACAGTTCCTTGCCTTAGAGTCATGCCCTTGTGGGCACAAGCAAAAGCCCATCCTGCTGCTCACAGAACGTATACACAAATGAGCATCCTCTCCCCACCAACTCACAACCCTTTCCTGCCACAAATGCTAATAAAACCACCAACTAGAGCCTGTAAGTTGCTTTTCAAAAACATACTCACGTTCTGCCATCACGTTGTGAGAAGAAAGCCTGTTTGTCAGAGTGGTTCTTCTCCATAGATTTTCACTTTTAATTCCTGGAATTAAAGTGAGAGAAGAGTAAAATAATTACACAGCTTGTCTTACTAGGGAGCCTAGTGCGTACTGGAAGGCAATGTAACATGGCTCTGCTTGGCACAGCTGCCCAGGGAAGCGGGGGGGTGATCATTCATGGAGGTGTTCCACAACCGTGGAGATGTGGCACTGAGGGATGTGGTCAGTGGGCATGGTGGGGTGGGCTGGGGTTGGATTTGGGGGCCTCGGGGATCTTCTCCAACCTTAATGATTCTGTGTGTCCATGCAGGGACATGGTTTAGTGAGCATGGTGGGGGTGAGCTGATGGTTGGACTTGATGATAGAGGTTTGTCCAACCCTAATGACCTTATGATTCTAAGGCTGAAAGCAAAGGTGATGTAGTTTCCCTATCCCCACCCAATTTGTTCTGCTCTTGTTTGCAGCCAATGATCAAACTTGCCTTACTTTTCTGCTCTGTCCCCTTTCTCTATCACTCCTTATATAATTTCATTTAATTCACTTTTAGGTGCTGGGGAACTGACACAGACAAAGCATGATTAGTCTCTGGACAGGGTGATGGGTGCAGGGATAATGCTCACACCTCAGCATCCTACAATAATAGAAAATGCCTCTGTCAGTCTCAATCCCTCTGAGACAGCCGCCGCTGAGATACCTTCTGACAATGCTGCTCCAGTCTTATTAGCGTTCAGTTATCTGTGATCGTTTTGAAAAGCAAGAGCATTATGCTGAGCTCTTTGTTACGACCAAGCTTCAAAAGGGGTGGGGGAAGGCAAACAGGAGCAGAGCTCTGCAGCTAAAACGGCAGGCAGGCTGCCCCTTTGTGAAGCTTCACAAGGCAAAAAAAGAAATTCAGATAGAAAAAAAGAATGCAATTAAAACAAGAACTTCTAGATAACCCCCCTAATTGTCTTGGGCCTCTCTTGGGCTCTCAGCAAACTGTGCACAATCAATCTTTTGCTGTGCTTGTTTGCTGGTTTGTCTCCTGTTCATCAGCCGTAAACACGGGGAGGGGAGGAGGGTTTGTGCTACAAGCCTGTGTGCTTGGGGATGCTGAGTTTTTGAGGCTCCTCATTTATTTCTGTTGCTCCCAGCTGGGATATCTGATGCACAAGCTACTGACTGAAGAAAGGCAATAGCATTATCCATGTTTTACAGGCGGTGATGTGAGCGCAGAAAAGAGCAAGTGAGTTGTCCAAGGTCAAAGCAGGAGCCTGAGTCAGAGCTCGCTCTCCTGTGGCCCAGAGCTTAACAAAAAGACCTCTGCTGCAGAATTGCTGCCTGACCTTATCAAAGGCCACTTAGCCTGTCCTTAAAGCACAGCTGAACCCTGTCTGCATCACACTGCTTTGGGTGCTCTACACCTGGCACAGTTCAGTGTTTGCCTAGGGTGAATTTCTGTAGGACAGCGAAATAGTCAGCAAATAGATGTGAAAACGTGAAGGAAGTCTTTGAGATCTCCTGCAGCACACTGAATGGGGAGAGAGCCTTCTCATGCAACAGGGAGCAAATGGACACATGGTCTGCATTTATGGTCCCTCCAGTGTTCCAAGCAAGGCTTCTTTGCTCTCTGACAAATCCACAGCCCCCTAATCTTCCTAACCAAATCCTGGAATACTGAGATAGAATCAGTGGGACAGGAACACCCATGCCTTTGTGGGGAATGCTGCTTTCTTGGTTCTCCTTGGAATTATTTCAGGACCTGTGAGGGCAGTTATGTGTTGAGCCCCATTGACTTAGGAGTCACATCCAGTTGAGGAGCATGTTGTCTTCCTCCACAGTGGCAACCAGGGGTCCCAAGCACAGCTCCAAGCCCTGTTGACCTAATTCAGGGACCTGGTTTTCTGCTCGTTCCCTCAAACATAGCCTGCTGGGGCAGATAAAGAAAACCTCAGCACAAATCTGGTGATTGTACATCTTCCAGGAGCTCTTTCTCATCACCAGCAAACGCCTCCCAACTCTAATCAACAATATGAGAAAATTAAGGTGCAGCTTCTTTTAGTTTAAAGCTCACAAGAGGCTTCTCACTACCTCTAATGAAAAAAACAAAACAGGACTGCTCTCGTTTTCCTGCCCTCCATCATCTTGTGCTCTTTCCACCTTGTTCAGCCACTTGAGAGTTCTTAGAAGGGTAACGGCACTGCCTTCTAATTTCCCTGCCAGAATATTGTTTGCTTCAATCACACAAAAGCAAATTCACCTCTCAGAGATGAAACCATTGCTCTCATGCAAACCTGCTTTTGCCTAACACCACAGAATCACTTGGTATTCGAGGCTTTATTTCACCTGAGCTGCAGTAAGGATCTTTCTTAAGCCCTGCATGACGCACCGTCAAAACTTATACACTGCAAAGTAGGGGTTAAAGTAAATCACACAGAGATAAATGTCTCCCAGGTCTGGACTCCAGGGTTACTCACATCTCAATCTATTTCAGAGGAAATGAGGACACCAAATACAGCGGGGAAGTGGAGCTGCCTTATGGGAAGACGAAGGCCATGGCAGAAAGACTTGTATTAGAAGCCAATGGGAAAAAGGTAAAAAAGTCAATGGTGGTATCCATGGGGTTTCAGCACAGGATGAGCAGAAGGAGAAAGCTGGTTAGAAAGAATCATGGAATAGAATCATAGAATCATTAAGATTGCAAAAGACCTCTGAGATCTTCCAGTCCAACTGTCCATCTACCACCAAGACCCCAGAGTTTGTACCTAACTATTTCTCCAATGGCTTCTCTGATATGTATTCACCACATTGCCCCAAGCTCACCAAGAGCCAATACTCCCACAGCATCACAGAGCTGCCATGTATTTGCAGGATCAAGTTGCTCTACCCTCTGTACCTATTCTCAAACTCCACCAAAGGAGTGAAGCTTTGGAAAGCACTGTATTAAATTATGGTTTGCAAAACCAGGCTCACCTGGTGCACAAAAGGTGTATTTTCAGACAGCGTGAGTTAAGAATCAAAAGTTTGATTTCCTCCAATTTCCCCAAGTATTCTGGTTCCATCTTCCGCACCAAAGATCACTGTGGAAGATTCTGCCTACAAATCCATCACTTGCCAATACTCCTCCCTGATTTTTCAGCTCAGCAATGGTGGTAAACTCACGACCTGCATCATCCGTGCAAACACAGTATATGGGGAGAAAGCAATGTTCCTTCACGACTTGTATTTGTCTGCCAAAGCCCATAACGGTGTGTTGAACTACCTGGAGCCTGAACACACAGAGCGCAATTCCACGTACGTGGGTGAGTGAGTGATGGATCTCTTTGCATGCAGTGCTACCACAGGAGATTTTGCATGTTGGCTTACTCGTAATCCTTGAACACAGAAAAATGAGTATAGTGACTGAGTGGAAACAATTCTACAAGCACAAAACTCAGTCTGGCTAAAAGAATTTATAAAGCACTTGTTTACATTTTATTGTTTTCATAGAACCATTAAGGTTGCAAAGGCCACCAAGACCATCCTGTCCAACCATCAACCCAATGGCTGTGACCACTCCAGACCATGGCACTCAGTGCAACGTTCAACCTTTCCTTGAAAATCACTAGCAAAAAGGTTTTCTTTTTTTAAATTCTCCTCAACATAAGGAAAAATGTTGTTTCGAAAACTGAAAAATAGCAGAAAAGAGTACAAGAGTCCCGTTTGTTTCTTTTTCTAAGGCAATGTTTCTAGAAATCTATGGAGGAAAACAGAGAAATTGAGGGAACATCTTTAAAAATTTTTTTGTTTGTTTGAAAAGACTGGTTTACTTACAAGAAATTAAGCCAGCTACTTATAAAATTAGAAAAGGCATTCATTGTAGAAAAGATTGTACTTCATAACTGAGTTTTGTGAGCACGACAGGCTGCTCCCAAAGCCTCTCAAAATCACAGAATCCTTGAGATTGGAAAAGACTTCTAAGATCATCCAACTCAACTATCCACCTACCACCAATATTGCCCACTGACCATCTGAGGTACCACATCTGAAGTAGTTTGTTGTTGCATTGAGTGCATTACAGGAAGAGTACAATTCACCACTCAATCATGTGGAGCTTTAGTTATTTCTGTGAAGCTCACATGTCCTTTTCCAAAAGTGCAGATAACAGTGCTTTGAAATTGCTGTTGCAGTGGAATCAGGCCTGGATAAATCAAATGACTTCTTCAAAGGCTTCTCAGCAGAGCCAGGAATAAAACCCCCAAGCTCTGCCTGCCATTCATCCTGATCACACTACAAAACAGTGCCCTTTCGCGTCGAGTGAACCCGTGTCACAAGGAATGTTAAATGTCCTGCTCAAAGGGGAAACCAAGGGTTGAAAGGACCTTTGAGGCCTGAATTAACTACTCCACCCCTCCTCAGTACAGCTGAGCACACGATGAGCGCCATCCCTACATCGTAGCACTGCAGTTGGGATCCCATGCTCTCACTCCCATAGTAAATAGGCAAACATTGCTCCTCCTGAGCACCTGTTTCTCTGCTCCTCTTATTTCTCCAGGGAATGTCGCATGGATGCATGTTCTCGCAGCCAGGCACCTGCAGCAGAAACCAGACATACTTGCTGGGCAGGTGTATTATTCCTATGATGACACTCCGACAACAAAAGCTTTTCTGATCAGGTATCAGCTCTTGTCCTGTATGGACCCCTCAATAAGACTGGGCTCACACATCCCATACTGGAAGATGTGGTTACTGATACACCTGCACAGGATAATCGAGGTCATCCTGTCCCCTTTCTGGAAGCCACAGCCTTTCCTAAACCTCCCTTTGCTGCACACGATAGTCACCACCTTCTCCTACGAGACAGACAAAGCCTTCAGGCACTTTGGGTACAAGCCCCTCTACAGCTGGCAGGAGAGCAAGGTGCGGACGGCGCGGTGGCTGGAAGTGGCCGTGGGGAACCTGTCCTCTCAGTGATGGAAAGAACCCTTCCTAAAGATCCTGTTACCCTTCATACGTGGCTTATTACATCTGTTTTGAAATATTACCCTATAAAAATAAACTCCTACTCTCTTGCACTGACGGCACAGGAGCTGACTTGCATTCAAGCCCCATGGTTGGATGCCTACAAGTTCAGGCAGTTTTCACTGGAGTTCGAAGAAATGGGCTGTTTTTACAGCAGTGGTTAACATCCAAAATTAATTCTGTCAGTTTGAGACTGCTTAAGTACTCCTGTGTTCTGTGAACATATAATCATCTCTTGAGTTTTCCTACAGTTGAAGTGTATGTGTGCACAAATAAAAGCTCATTTTAATTACTTCCCTAATCCTCCTGGAAAAAAAAAAAAAAAAGAAATAGAAGCAAGTTTCAGCGTGGCATCTTTGATAGAAATGATCGAGATTTGCTTCTTGTTAGTCATAGTAATTACCCTGGAAAGGAAGTGAAGGAATACGCTGGGAGCTGCCAAGTGAACTCCATGGAAATTCACTCACAGGAGAGTTCTTTGCAAAATGAGCTTCCAAACCAAAAATAATTTGCTCAGGTAATTCGTGAATAATTTCATATGACAAATAAATCTGGGGCAAACTATTACAATCTGTCCACAGAGAATTTGGGAAGGTGAACCGTGCAAGTTATGGAATCACAGAACGCATGGAGTTGAAGGACCCTTCAGTGCCACCTGGTCCCACTCCCTGCAATGCACAGGGATGCCCACAGCTCTCAGTTCCTCACTTTTTTACTCTAATCCTTTGTGCAGAGAGTTTTTAAATAAAGTGATTAGTAAGGTTGCTGGACTTGGTTTCATTAACAATTGTCTTTGCAGTTTTCTGCTATAAGTTAAATGCTAAATGATGGCTTGCTGAGACTGTGACAGAGTAATATATACCCTATTTCATACGCATGCTGCCAGAGCTTCACCACAGTATGACTACTTTGACCTCAACAGGTTTCAATGCTTTTGAAACCTTGGTTTTATCTTGCCAAAAAAGAGCCACTGGGTGGAGCTGCAAGTCTGTCAGACAGGTAACTTGAGTTCTAGCATAGCAGCAGTATTTACTGGAGCAGTATTTACTGGAGCAGTTTCTGACGAGAGCTCCAAGACCTGCCCAGACAGCAATGCTGATGGTCCGGGGGTCTGGGTCTGTCTTCAGTCTGCAGTACTTGGAGCTCATCCCTCAGCTGCATGGACACACTCATCTTTATCCTCATGTAGTTGTGCCATCAAAGTGACCAAGGAAATTATTTTTTCCACTCATAACTTCTCAGAAAAGAATCAAAGTTTGCTTTTAACTTAGCAAAATATATTGAAATATGGCACTCTGACCTTTGAGAGAACTAAGTACAAGAGCTGATGCTTGCAGTCCCACTCAGAGCCTCTGGCACATTCCTTTGTGGGCTATAGAGCTGCTGACGGTACCAAGAGGTGTAACTGTCAAACCCCAATCCTACTCCAGCAACCAACCTTACATGCTTGCCTCCTTTCAGAAACCTTACTGGGAATCTCCTCTTCCTGTCCTGCCCATCATCACCCAGGGTTTTGATGTTTATCAGGACACAGATGACATGAAGGATAAGGAGCAGGCATTTTTCAAAAGGACCTGAATCATTCACTGCCTTAACTCTTTCCATACCTACCCCACCTCCCAAGCTTTGACAAAAGCAAGTGGAGGATTCCCCTTCCCTGCACATTTAGCAGAAGTTGGGGGGAAAAAGTTAGACAGCAAAGCCTCTGTACTGCTTTCCAAAAAGATGAGTAAGCTTCCTTTGGCTGCGCTGCAACTTGGCTCCCCCCGGGTTGTGCTGCTGCAGACTTCCTGCTTGATCCTTGATTTTATCAGATTGTAACTTGTTTTCTCCTGGCAGCGCTTTCATTCTTTCTACTGCTCTGGGTTGTCATTGGCTTTTTTTTGTTGTGTCCCAGCCCTTTTTTTTAAACACAAAAAAAAAAAAAAAAAAAGGAGTGGGGGGGAATATTTCAGATCTGTTTCTGCTTCTGGAGAGGAGCCTTTGTGCACAATTACTCATCCAAGAGATTCAGCAGGTATAACTGCTTCCCCCAGGGGCTCCATTATATAATTGGATTTCAGCCATACAAATTAAATCCTATCTTACCCCTTAGTTAAGCCAGGCAGTAAGTATTTAATGCTAATATCCTTAACAACTATTGCAGAGAGAAGCAGAGACGAAGCACAGAGGAGACAGATGCGAGTGTCCCTACCGGAGGAGAGGAAGGATGAGCACTGACAAAGACACCTGCTATTTTTAAGAGCTAGCTGTACTTCCCCAGTGCGATCCATGGCGTCTGCTGGAGGAGCTGTTTGGGCTGGAAAGTGGCTTTCCCTTCATTTTCCACCCTATAGTGCTCCCATGTGTGCGCTGAGCACTGATCCCCTCTCAACACACACACAGTTCAAAGAGCCTCATGCCTAACCCTGCTTGAGTTTCTATGGAAGTCTCTGTTCTTGTGCAACGTCTGAAAGAAGCAAATTTAGTAATATTAAAACTCCAGCCAAACACACAAACAGGCAAAGAATCCCCAAATTAAAAAGAAAATCTTAAGCGAATTACTCATTCATCTGCATTTTCTATTGCATTCTGTCTTCTCCAGGCATGTTTCCTTTAGACAAAGCCCTCTGGGCAGAGACCATCTCTTTTGGTGTCTGGTACATCAGTCACATAGTTAGCGCATAGTAATAAAGGAAAATATATTCATGGTCGGAGTTAAACCAGTCAGTCTGGTACCATAATTGGAACATAATCTCATATTGACAGTATTTAACACAGGATGCACAGGGAACAGATGGCAGCACGCCAGGCCTCAATCGTTCAGCAAACATTGGAAAGATATTTTCCAAGTCCAGCTTCTGAGCCTCATCTCCGATATGGGAAGCTGCTGTGACCCAAACAGGACCAGATATGCTCACTGACCCTGCAGAAAGCCCAGCACATCCATGTCCTTCAGAGCTCGCAGACCACTTGGCTAGCAGCCTTTCCATTGCTAACTATCTCACAAATGCTTAGAGAGATCTGAAAAAGTATTGAGGGCAAAAGGCTCCGAGGTCCATCGGCACAATCATGCACGCCTCCCCTCGCATAGAGACCATGGCCATGACATGCAGTTGGAGCTGAATGATCTTCAAAGTCCCCTCCAACCCAAAGCATTCTATGATTCTGTGTCCAAGGTGCACCGTGGGTGCAGACAAACTCAGCTTTCTGAGGATATGGGAGCACACCTTGCTTCTTATATCTGCTATGGAAACTTCAAATTGATTTTTCTCCATTTCACCAATTAATTCCCATTAATTAAGTTACCATACAATGCTTCACTGTAATTCACAAGTTTTATGTATTATATGAATAAAATTGCACATATATTTTTATGTGATTTTCATTTAATTGAATTCCAAGGAGATTTATCTCCTAGGTTATTAATAAATCTTAATATGGCCTATAACACTCAATTGATATTTAATTAACCTGCAATAACTGCCTTGTAAAATGTAAATTAAATGCTTTATTTTTCTAGGCATATAACGTTAAATCAAATTCTTAATTCTACCAGCCAAGCAAAAAGGGGTGGGGGAAAAACCAGACTGCAGGCTGCAAAACCTTAGACCTGAAAACATTTCATGCTTAAAGAGGTTCAGAATGGAAACATGTTTTGTAATCACTTCTCCCAAGGAAGTACTTCTCCACCGTCTCCCCACCTTCAAAGTTCAGGAGTATCTGGGTGGATTTAGATGAAACACCAAAATCTCAGGAAGTCTTAAAGAGAAGAGAGAGAGAGGCCCATTATTAATAATAAGGGTGCAAATTCCCATATGTATTGTGGGATTTGGCATTTTTCTTAAAGTCTTGGCTCCCAGAGTCACATTATCAAATGAGAATGTCAGTTTTCATTTAAAAATTTAAAAAAAAAAAAAAGAAAGATGTTAAAGCCCTTTGATAGGGGGAAAAGTTTGCAAACCTGAATGTCAAAGGCATGAGAACTAAGAGACAAAAAATACATAAAATTTGATCCTTATCTTTAAAAGTATCAGAACTTTTTGAGAGACTTGAGATGGCTGAGAACTGGGAGGTGGCAACTAATGATCAAAACAGCCTTTACAAGAAAACATGAGAACAGTCCAAATTATGTTTTAAGATCAAACTGTTCTCCTCCCCCTCCCCTGACAATTTACATAGATCTCCATTAAGTGCTCCAAACTGCATCAACAACTATTTCTGATTTCAAAACCAGGAGAGCTTGCTACCTTTGTAAAGTGATTTCAAAACTTCAGGTAGCTCTGACTGTCCACAATTCATAGGCCTGTAAAGTTCTACTGCTATAGCATCCGAGGTTAGGAGATATAAATATATTTAATGTACCGAGTAGCTAATCTGTCTTAGAACCATAGAATGGTTTAGACTGGAAGGGATCTTTAAATCATCCAGCTTCAAAGCCCTGCTACAGGCAGGGACACCTCCCTCTAGCCCAGGTTGCTCACAGTCCCATCCAGCCAGGCCTGGAGTGCTTCCAGGGATGGGGCATCCACAGCCTCTCCTCCAGTATTCTATTAAATAGAGTAGGCTCTTATCCATCACTGATAAAAGTACAGAGCTAATGGTGGTGATTGTGTTGCAAAAGAGTATTTGCTCGATCAAAGAGCGCTGTTATGCTCTTTGTAGCTGTTGTGGCTTCCATGGAAATAAATAGGAGGCATTACTTTTGGAACAGCCTACATATACATAGCCCAATTTGTCCTCACCCAACGTCACCCAAGCAAGCCAAAGTGTTTGATATCCACAAAACAGACTATTTCCACTAAAGACCAGTATCCCTAACTGCCCATCATCTGTCTGCATGAGATCACTTTAAAAGGTATTGAACAAAAAATCAAAACTCAAATGGGCCATGGGTTTTAAAAGTGTCACAGCATGGAAGAATAAAACGAAGAGAAAGGATTCTACCTTGCAGCAACTGAACGGAAATAAATCCAGATCTTCTGGAATGGAAAGCTTGTCCATCCTGCCATCCCATCCCTTCCTTACTCACAGGCTCGCCTGACTTGCATTGCCCAGAAAAGCATTGCTGACTGCTCCAAATTTTGCCACTCATGCTTTGCAAGTAGCTTCACTGCTTCAGGAGTACCCAGAGCAGGGAGTCAGCAGATGCAAGTGTCCTCATGCTTGCAGTAATTGGCTGCAATTTTGCAGACCTGGGCTTAATCCCCAGCTCCAGCATGGACTCATGGGTTCATTTACTCAGGGTTCTTCCTCTAACTCCACATTTTACAATTTTGGCAATTGATCAAAATTAGTCTCCTTCTCCTGCCTTTAATCTTTTTTTAATGGAGGAGGATGCATCCTGCAAACGTGCTGTGCTGGACCTGCTGGCAGCTGTGGCTACGGGGGCACCAAGCCCAGCATGAGTCTGCTGCAACACGGGAGGTGCTTTGCCCAGAGTGGTTTTCTAATGGAGCTGAATCTAGTACAGCTCTCCTTAAGGGTTGACTATGACTGGTGGTTTCAGTGTACTTGGATAGCGCTTCTTCTCAGGCCTGAGGTCACCCAAGAGCTGCACCAGGAGGAGGCACAGTCCCACCTACCCACACTGCTCCTCACGATGCTCCAGGCGATTTGGCTGCTAACAACAGGGACAAATGGATCAAAAATCAGGAGGCTGCAAATTCCCAGAAGTACGTAGGGCTGAAGACCTGGTGGGCTCCCCACAGATCACCAAAAGCATTCCCCTGTGCTCTGCCCACTGCACAGCAATTCATCTGACCCCTTCCAGGCACACTCCAGCCTAGTC